TCAAAATTACGCTTAATACCATTATTCAGTTCTTGAATATATGTTTTATATATAACAAATGACACAATACTTATAAAATAGTTTAAAAATTCAGTATGATTGTCATTTCCATCGTAACCAATTATCAATTTTCTGTAAGTTACTCTTAACCCTGAGATATTATAAATATGTTTCCAAATGTTTTGAGAATATGAGCATGAAAATAACAAATGTTTCAAGGTACATAATTCATTACATAAACTACATTTGTAGGTTTCACTTTTACCAAATATATATAAATCACTAAGGCTAGGAAGAATATTGTTGATAATTTTAAAGTTGAAATTACCTATTTTCTTTTCTTTACAACTAATTTTTGTAGAGAAAAAGTTTTGCCAATTTATTTCATCATTGGCTTCATAGCAAAACTCTTGTTCCCATTTCCTTTTCATAAACCATTTTTCCGATCGTTTGTTTTTTAATATTTCATAAAAGAATTTGGATTTCTGATTATTCACAGTGATAATCACATTATTTATATTAAATTTAAAAGTATTATGAATATTTGTATACTTGACAGATTCTAAATTGAATCTTTCTTTCAGTGTGCCCATGGCTGATAAAACTCTGTAATATTCAGATATCCAATTTTGTTTATTTACAAGTTTTTGATATAACATATTAACATCAAGGAACCTGTTCTGAATTATCAAGTCTTTTATGTATATAATTCCACTTTTGATCCATGATTCAAAGAAAATTGGTTTATTTTTGACGGTGAATAATTTGTTTCCCCATATAACCTCTTGCAAGAGTTCATGTTGCTTCATATCTCTTATATTTTTGATGCATTTGCATAAACAATGTGCTTCCAGCACTTGTTGATAAAAAAGTGGAACATTTTCAAATTCTTTGAATCTAGTATCATTTATCTTGAATAATACATCTATATTTGGAAGAAATTTATTGAAATAGAAGTAAGGGATTTTATTGTACATGTTTTGATTATGCAAACGGGGGATCCATGCTGCTTTAAGTGCATGTATTTGAGACTCTAAGTCAATCATATTTATTCCACCCTTATTAATATTATTTATGATTATAGATCTTCTTATTTTGTCCTTTTTTCCATCCCATAGAAATTTAAATACAAGATTGTTTACTTTTTTTATAATCTCGTGTGGCACAGATAATACTGATGCTGCATAAATTAATTTTGGAATTGCCAGTGATTTAATCACTGTTACTTTGCCAAAAAGTGTTAAGTATCGGTTCTTCCAGCTGTCTAATATTTTTTCTACCTTTTTTACTCTATCTTCCCAGTTTAATTCATAACATCTTTGTTTGTTGTGTCCTAAAAAGATTCCTAAATATTTGATTGGTTCATCAGTAAAAGTTATATTTTCACATTTCTTTTCAAAGTCCTTATTTTTTCCAAGCCAAATGCCTTCAGTTTTTTCTATGTTTAACTTCAGACCAGAAAATTTTGAGAAATTGGAAATAGTATTAAGAGCATTTTTCAATGACTCTTTATCTTTAATGAAAAGTGAAGTATCGTCCGCATATTGGGACATCTTATATTCTTTACCATCAACAGTTATACCTGATATATCATTATTTTGCTGAATTGCTAAGTTCATAACTTCGCAACATAAAATAAATGCCATTGCGGAAACGGGGCAGCCCTGCCGACATGAGCGTTCAACATCAATATTTTTTGATAACCATCCATTTTGCTTAATGTTTAAGAAAGGTTTTTCATATAAAAGTTTGAGCCATTTGATAATCTTATCACTGAATTTAAATTTTTTCAACGTTTCATACATAAAATTCCACTCTATACTATCAAACGCTTTTTGGAAGTCAAGAAAGATTATAGCGCCACCTATCTGATTTTGATTTTCAAAATATTCAAATACATCTAATACCAGTCGGCTACTATTTCCTATAAAACGACCATTAATATAAGCCGTTTGTTGCATACCAATTAATTTACCTATAACCTTTTGAAGTCTTTTTGCCAAGATAAAAGCTAAAATCTTATAATCTGTATTAGATAATGATATTGGACGATAATTTTTTAATAGTTCACGGTCTCCTTTTTTGAATAACAAAGATATGATAATTTTACGAAATGATGTTGGTAAGATTCCTACTTCATATGACTCATTAATTGCTTCTATAACATAAATATGTATATCTTTCCAAAAGCATTTATAGAAGTCAGTGGTTAAACCATCTGATCCTGGGGAAATATCTTTTTTCATACTGGAAATAACAGGTAAACACTCACTATTATTGATAACACCTTCAAGGATGTCATTATCTTGTTTATCTAATGTATTAGGAAAGTTAATAGAATTCAAATAATTTTTTACTTTATTGGTTGGTTGGGATTTTGATCTATATAATTCGCTATAGAATTTAATTTCTTCTTTCAAAATATCCTCATCTAATCTAAGTATACCATTTTCTGATTTCAATGATGTAATTGTATTATTTGCCTGACGTGCTTTTTCTAAATTCAGAAAATATTTTGAGTTTTTATCTCCAAATTCTATATCTTGCTCTTTTGACCTTAAGATGGCACCCTTTGTTTTGCTTTCAAGGTCTTTTTCAAAAATAGATAAAATTTCAAGCTCTCTAGCTTTTGTAGTGTCAGAAGTATGATCACTACTCTGTATTAAATCAAGCTCTTTATTTAGAACATGTAATTTTTTCTTTGAAATTGAACATTTTTTGATTGAGAATTGAATTGCAAATTCTTTAATTTTGACTTTCAAAAATTCCCATTTTAATTGTTTTGAGTTAATCTGGTTTAATTCATGTTCATTTATATTTCTAATCAACCCTTTTACTTCGTGTACAAAAGTGCTATCAAGTAAAAGAGAATTATTGAATTTCCAATAACCAGGACCTCGCATATTTTTACTTGTATCTAACTTCATCATGAGACATTTATGATCTGACATTGGATAGTGATGCTTCGTTCTTGATATAACTTTGAATTGAGCATCTTTATTATATAATATGTAATCAATTCTTGATTTAGCATTTTTTCCTTTTGATATACATGTATAGCCAAAATGCTTAAATTCATCATTGACATTGAGATATCTTATCAGGTTTTCTAATTTTAATCTGCTATTGTCAGTTTCTATTGTCTTTGGAAATTTGTCATCTTTGGTAAGATAACAATTTAAATCACCTGCTACTATAATGTTGTTGTTAAATGTTGCAAATTGTATAATCTTTTTAGACATTTGTGTAAAAAATTCTGCCCTACCAGTATTTGAATTTGGTGCATACATATTAACAAATGTAAATAAATTATCATTAATTTTCACATTGATAAGTAACGACCGTGCATCAGCACTTTTAAAGCAGTCTAAAATATCAATAGAAAATCGTTTATGTATCAATGTAGAAACACCTCTGCTGTGTGTACTGTTAGTACAATTGTGTACACATAAATACTCAGACCACTCATTTTCAATCAAATATGTCAAATTTTCAGTACAGAAAGTTTCCTGCAACATAATTATATCAGCATTTTTTTCATTAAAATATTTCAAGGTTTTTAAACGTTTAGATTTGTCATGTAGCCCTCTTATATTGAGGGTTAAAATATTTAGTGTTTCATTCATTATAATGATATTATAAAAATCAGTGTTTGTAACACAAATGTTTGTGTACAATATTGAATCCTAAATAAATCAAAAATCATATTGATCTGCACTGTCAAACTCCTGTAATCATATATTCCAGGTACAAATGCTAAAGCAAGTACAATGAAGTTAGCATTGCATGTACTCCAATTTAGTCTTTTTGCACTGGCATTTAAAATATGTTGTCCACTTGCCAAATGAATTAATACTACATATAGGGGGTGTACCATTTGCCTATTTGTCATTGATGAATTTTTTTAATTTGGACTTAGTTGATTCTCCAATTTGTCGTCCTACTTTATTCGGAGGTTTCTCAGTAGGGGATTCTTCTGCAGTCCTCTTTTGGGAAGATGACCTGCTTGGTGTAGATGCAGATCTAATTGCAGATCCCACTGGGTGTTGTGGACGTGATTTATATATACAATATATACAATTAATATAAACATGTACAAATAGATATATAGGACATATAGAACAATATGCATCTTCAAAAGTATGCATTTACATGAAACATATGGAACAACTTATTAAGAGAATAACACGAATATAAAGAACAATTTCTTTGTGCCAAATTATAATCCTCAACTTGACTAATAAAGAGGTTTAAATTAAGAAAACAAAAAACTTGTATCCATCCATTTCATCCTTTTTGTTACGTAACTAGTTGTGGAACAGTGTTATTGAGTGGAGTCCTTTAAACAGAACTAGCTTCAACAGCATTTTCTACTGGTTAAAACACCACAATTATAACTATAGGCTAGTATACTAGTAGATGTAGAAATATTCTCCACTGAACTAAATTTAAATTTTGATATCCTAGTATTATTAACTGTGTGTGGATGTATGTTATTGCTTTAGAACAAAGGACAATTCTCGGTTTGGAGAACGAAGTTCATCAATCTAAATGAGCATTATCCCTGCTTCTGACAAATTTGATTTTGTTACACAATATAGATTTGAATGTCTTCTTTTGAATAGTCATAATTTAATTTGGGTAATATTTCTAGATTTTTCGCAAAAAAATATTAGCGCAGTACACTGATGAACTTCTTTTCCCAAATCGAGACTTGTATTTTATTGAATCAGTCTAATTGAGCATTACCCCTGCTTCAGACCAATTTGTTATGTTTACATCTTGCAGATTTTAATGTCCTCTTTTGAATATTCATAGTTTAATTTGGGTAATATTTCTATATTTTTCATGAAAAAAATTATTACCCCAGGAGACTGTTCTCCAAACCGAGAATCGTCCTTTCCCATGATTTTCAATTCTTATGTCACCACCAGAAGTTGTGACATATTGTTATAGTGTCCAAATCTTTTGTGGACAGTGTTCAGCATTTGGGGTTCAGCATTCTGATAACTGGTTGAGACATTTTGTCATGTTAATGCCTTGTTTAGCATCCTTGTTGACAGTTTATGTTACAAACTTTCTTTTATCAGAATATCCTTGAATCGTACCATTCTGGTGTTGTTTGATCACTTCAACTCTTCCTATACAAGGCAATGTATCAAAGAATGACGTCTTTTGGCCCAAAATATCTAAAACTCGTGTTATTGGCTGAAAAAGAATTGTTAAATTAGTTATCAGTATATTAGATATAGTGATCTCTTAGAATTATATATTTTGTACATTTACTCTTCTTGATATTATACACTAGGGTGTTATATTGGTCACCCTGTATTTTATTTCAATTTTTAAGTTATCTTTTTGTAAATTCACTAGAGGAGGGCATTTGTACTGAAAGGAGTGTTTTCAGTACAAATGAACAATGTACTGAATTTTTAAAGTACAAAATTCAGTATATTTATGTGAAAAATATACTGACTAAAAATGTACTTAAAAAATCAGTAAATATTTTTCAGTACATTTTTGTACTTAAAAAGTCAGTATATTTTTCAGTACATTATTTGTACTGAATTCTATACTGAAAAAAGTCAGTACATTTTTCAGTAAAAAAATACTGAAAAAAATACTGAAAACGCTCCTTTCAGTACAAATGCCCTCCCCTAGTGATTGCAATATCTGACTCAAGTAAGACACCTGGTGGTGAAACCATTTTCCTAACTCCAAGTAGTAATTAGTACACTTTTTCTTTGGTACTAATATAATATGTGAGAAGGTCCGAGGGACATGGTTGTTTGCTTGTTTGTTAGTTTGGTCATTTGATTAGTTGGTCAGTTGGGCAGATAGTTGTTAAAATCTGTTTCTTTAATAGAGGTGGATGGTCTAGTAGTTCAAAATGAATGACATGTAGTGTATGTAAAATAAAGAACATTTCTTACCTCATTAAATTCTTTTTCATATCTGAGAGTGAAAGGAATAAGTGTGTGTGTAAATCGAGCCTTATCTATGGCAGTATAGACATCATCTCCTAACCATAACATACTAGAAACCACCTGGAATATAATTGATAAATTAATTGATTAATTATCAATTATTGCACCTGTTTTAACCTCTTGACTACCTGGAGTGACGAGATTTCTCGCCACCTCATAAATGACCTTGAAACTAGTGCTCGGACCGGTAATGAAAAGTGGTGCCGGTATTACCGTATGTCATTACCGATATTTACCGACTATTTAGCAAGTATTTTGAAAAAAGCTAAAAAAATCTCATAGTACGCCATACATACCACTTAATTTATCTGTAGAAACAGTAGAACCCACTCAGAATCATTTTAAACCACTAAACAATCCTGATTCTAACGGTTCATGTGATATAAACTCGTAAAATAAATATGTTTTCGTTCGTTGTATTATCAGCCTCGTTCTGAACTTCAAATCGGGCGATAATAGGTAAAGTGAAACTTCAACGTCCGGAAAATGGTTTAATTCTGTTTATTTTACTTAGTTATGTACACAAATCGGTTTCTATACATAACAGTTTAGTTAATAAGTGAGAAAAGAAACTATAGAGATCATACTGATGAAGGAATTTGGCTGATTCCGCCCGGGAATCTAATTCAGCTGAATGCCGTCCATTGCCGGTAAGAAGTTTATGATGCCGGCATTAGGTCAAATTAGTGCCGTTGTCGGTAATGCGGTATTACCTCCGACCACTACTTGAAACCCAGAGTTTTCACTAAAACTGCTCTCATTTGAACAATTTTCATCCAATTTAAACAAAAATTGTTTTAAAATGTGTAGAAATGTTCCTAGTCGTTGAATTTTACTAAGTTGAGCATCTCAAGTTATATAGGTATGTAGTAAAATGTCAAATGGTGGCAAAAATGAAAAATTCTCTGGTTTCAACCGATTTTAGAGCCTGGGATTCAAGAGGTTAATATAATTTGCCACCATGATCTTGATAGATTGTCAACAGGATCTGCATTAATTGTGTATTTGGAGGAATTTAAATGTCCATAAAAATGTGTGAAATTATGAAAATTATGACAAGGTCCTAGATTACAAATGTCTACTACAAATTTACTGTAGTCATAAATCAGAATTTTGCCTTTAAAATGATTAGAGACAGAGTTCCTTATATTATGAGAATATTTAATTCATACATTAGCAAGTGATATGATGATTCTAACCTGTGTAATAGCTGGTATTATAAACCTTCCTCCTGCTGCGCCAACTACATATCTCACCTCCCCATCTTTGTCTATGAATATAGAGGGAGACTGTGATGACTGAGGCCTCTTAGAGGGCCCAATTATATTGGCATCATGGTTCTGTAACATTCAAATGTTATCAGTACTTGTAAATATGTTTTGAAAATCTTGTATTCTAATTCTGTGCAATGCCCTATACTAGCTGTTATTTTGATAATACTGAGATTGCAGATATGTACTGTTACCACAAAGTGCAGTGCTGATCAGCATAATTACCCCATTACCCAAATTTTGCCATTTCATTAAGCAATTGGTCATAAAATGGTTACTAACTCAACTCCCTTTCCAGTGGTTTACCTCAACACACCACTGCCACAAACTTGTATGAAACATTTACGAAACCTCTTAATTTAAATAATTAAAATGAATTTTCCCCCTGACCTCCAATCAAATTTAAGCAAGATATGCATAATGCATAAGCAATCAATGTATGAGTAAGCAAACTGGTTACTTTGGACATACCACTGTGTAGTATTTAGTGTCATTGTAGTCTGGGTAGGTGAAATCATGCATCTGGTTATTAAATATTATCCCAGTAGACTCAGACACATGGTAGGAACCAAGCCTGAAAAAGCAGAGCACTTGTATTACATTTTTACTGATCAAAACCTAATACAATATATAAAAACAGATGAAAGATTTTTGAATCGGCTAAGAATCAAAGATATTAGGTTAATAAAGTTGCAAGTAAAATTTAGGATTTTCCAACTGATGTCTCGTTTAACCAAGTAAATAAAAATATCTCAAAAATTCATGATTCAAATGTTTATTAACATTGTAAATATGTTAGTCTCAATAAACTCTTACTTGGAAATAAAGATCAAACTTACGGCAAATTAATTGAAGACGTAACTGATACTGCATCTCCATTAGCTGACATCACAGATATATGCAATGTACCATCATCCAATTTTGCTAATTTTTCAGCATAGAAAGAGCTGTTTATATATCCAACATCATTGATTCCATTTCTCACCCTATCTATATATTTATTATCAGCCATCTTCTTTATAAGCTGAAAGTACATGGAAAAATGGTGTTGGTGTTTCCCTTTGTTCTTCAGCCAGAAGCTAGCATACCCACTGAATATGATCAAACACTTGACAGTTTAAAAGGGGCTAGTTATTCTCATCCTAATACCTCAAGTTACATTTGATTTGCAGCAACTGTATGGCAGCCACTACTAAGCTTTCCAAAATTTAAAGAAATATGCAGTATGAAATATAGGGATAGGCAGTACGGTGCTTTTCTATATCCTTGTAAAGCAATGTAGCTAGGGGCAACCTGACTGATTATGTTATTGGACAACCTCAAAATATATTGCCCCTAATATACTGACACATAAAGAACCTACCTCTCTTGTGGCCTCAGAGTCGCCCATCTGGAATCTGTGGGCAAAGCCATACTTCATAACCTCTGCGAGTCTGTGATAATATTTAACTTCACTAACAGGATCCATTCCTTCATGAGATACATTTAAGTTATAGCCTAAAATGAAGATATTTGCTTCTGTAGATAATTTACATTCATTATGGTATTCTGTGGAATACTGAAATAGTGTCAAAAAGGTTTATCTGAAAAATGGGCCTATTTGCATATGAAAATTGGCATTATGGGTCTAATATGATACTGGATCCTTACCTTCAAGAAGTTTCAAATTGAAACCTAACACTGGTCCGCCACCTGGTGATGTTGGAGCATGCATTGTGAGATTTCCAATTTTAATTGTAAATGGCTTTCTTATTTTCGCTTCATAGTTTTTAAAATCTTCACGTGTGAAATACTGAGTTCCTGCTGGTATAAACTGAGTCAAGTGTTTGTCTTCATTTAATTGTGAGTTTAGTTCTTCAACTAATTTGTCTGTAAGTTCACCATTGTAGAACACACTTGGACCTTTGTTTGCTATTAGCTCTAGTGTGTCTGCCAGTTTAAGCATTTTAATATCATCTCCAGTTTGCTTAAGTGACCCATCTGGCCTGCATAATATTTTACTGTAAAAAAAGAAGTTTTGTTCGAATTTTGTGTTTTTATATTATTATATTAATATTCATTTCTATATTTATGTACAAGTACATGTAGTCTAGTAGGAAGGTATGGTCCCCATGCACCCGAAAGATGTATTTTTTTAATGTACATTTTTGTAATCCTAAAGGTCCATACTAAAGATTTTTGCATGTTCCCAGAATGAAATATTGTCCCATGGTATCTATTGGCGGCCATCTTGTCGGCCATCTTGGATTTTTGAAAGAGTTGATGTTAATTATCTCAAAGTACAATAACTTCCAGAGTTTTGAGATTTGAAAGCTGTAAGTGGTACCAAAATGAAGCTTTTATAGTATCCTATATTATCAGATGCAATAATTATGCAAATTGTCTCATTTGCATAAAATGTGACATCATCAATCATAATTCTTGCCTCTTTACAACGGTATCGCATTATACCTTTCTGCCTGGGTGATCAGTCTTAGTCATTCATGAACATTAATGATTTTAAATATATAGGTACATTAATTTTGAACATATTTGCAATCAAAAGTTTTGGAAAAACATTGTCAGACACATGATTATGTTACTGAAAAGGGGCGTGGCACTTCTTGTGAGAGAATTGATGTTAATCATTTTAAAGTACAATAACTTCCACAGTTTTGAGAGTTGAAAGCTGTAAGTGGTACCAAACTGAAGGTATCACAATATCCCACATTACAAGATACAATAATTATGTAAATCACCGTATTTGCATGAAATATGACATCATCAATCATTATTTTTGCCCCTTTTCAACGGTAATACATATTGCATTTTCCTCTGAGTGACCAGTCTTGGTCTCTCATGAATATAAAAGATATTAAATGTATACATTCATTTTGAACATATTTGCAATTGAAAGCTTGAACATATTTGCATTGAAATTTTTAGTTTAGAAAAACATTGTCAGAAATCAAGGTATGGCCTTTCAAATGATTATTGTTCTGAAAAGGGGCGTGAAAATCCGTAATGTTATTATACAGTCGATGTATCATCTGTAAAATACACGGGGGTTCACTGAATACACAATTCTGTAGTTGTCCTAGGCTGAGCCCTAAGATATCATTATGTTCCCATAATCATCATGTTCCCATACCAATCTGTCAAATTTCAATGTGTTCACATACCAACCAAAATAACGCCCAAAAGCCATACCAAATATCCAAATATAAGACCAATGCTATACCAAATGTCCAAATATAGGGCTAATGCCATACCAAATATCCCAAAAATATAAGACCATTGGAATGCAAAATGTCTAAAGCCCCTGGAAGAAGCAGAATTTTTATGAAAATGAAAACATCCTCAAATTAAGGACATTTGTAAAAATTAGACCAATCCCATACCACAAGTGAGAGGTAACATATTCTCCATGACCATTCTTGTACCACAAAGTAGAAAAATCCGACCATTGTCATACCTCAAAAGTCATAATTAAATGGGGGCATTCTCATTCCAGATCCTAAAATTTGGATCCATTGCCATACTAAATGTTAAAAGAGGAACCCCCTGTCAAGGTTTATATAGAGTGAATACCTCGGGTGTAAAATATAGCTTTTGACTTTTAGAAAGTAGCCCAGTGATGTTCCTTATTCCTAGCTTGTTCAGAAATTCTTGTTGGTCTGTTTGGCAGACATTTAAATTTCAGCCAAAGATATATCTGTATCGCTTTTGGACTAAGTACTATACAGATACGTATATACGAATGACCACATATCCCCATATCATTTTAGGATAGGCAATGGACTGAAATGGGTACCCACAGTATTTAGTTGTTAAAGCTATATAATTAACTCAATATGTATTAAGCCTCTACCTCATCCGACTGGACTCTCAGCTGACTTCTTACAGAAACTCAGTGCTGATGTCAAAACACAGAGGTCCAACATCTTCAATGAGCTCATGGTACCTTCAAAAGAGTTGACCGATTAAAATATCTGATCAGCTTAAAAATCCAAGACCTATTTGATGAGGTTAAGACAAGAGGGTGGTATGCAGTTATGCACCCAATAGAAGTGGGATGCAGAGCCCAGCCTCTTCACTATGCTATCTCTTGTCCAAGTTAGAACGATTTCCATCCCAGATGCGGGGACAGTGAGTGGAGGAAACATCTTTGAAACACAATTGTGTTGGGCCAAGTAGAAGACAAAAGCTTCTCTTCGGAAGGAGAGATGAAGCCCATAGTAATCGTGGACGGCTTCAACACTGGCAAGTGAAAAAGATCAGAGAGCTCCAACAGATGCTTCTTAAGAGATTACTTCATCTTAGAGAAAATCTAAAGAGAAGCGTAGGACCAGGAAGACATTCTTTGAAAATCACTATAGGCTCACACCAAACTTGTTAGGGAACCAAAGAGTGCCTGTATGGCATATACGCAGGATCAAGCAGAAGCAAATACTTTGGCAGCACACAGTGACCCAGATCGAAATATGCCATTGAGTAATTTCCCAATTGACATCTCACCAGATTTATCTTCAAAACCGTTTGACCAGTCAGATTTCAAGCTTGATGAGGTAAGAACAATCATCAGGAAGGCATACATGGTGTACAAGAACAGCCATAAGCTGTTAATACCTCTATGGTGATTGCTAACAAGAATCCAGAACAAGAAAAATCTAGCAAGGACTTGGGCTTTGCCGGAAAGGTGCTTCATTCCAAAGGAGCTAAAATTTGACTGAACCAGTTCAAGTAGACATCATTATCGGATGCTGAGGGAAAGATCTTCTGGGCCATTGTGGTCAAGTCTCTCAGTTATTTCCTACTGGCCTGCCAAGCATTCAGAAAAATGGTATCCCAAGACATCAAGGGTGCATATAGCAGCAATAAGGCAACTTGTGAAGGAAGCCAAGAAAGAGAATAAGTAGTTTGGCTGGACCTAAGGTCTACCTAGTGCCCCTCACCAACTGATACTAGAGGTACAAGTTAACTTTCACATACCAAAACCAACAGATGTAGTCAATCTGACAATGGGACACACAAACTCCTTGAAGTTGCACAATACATTTGGCAATAATACCACTAATTAGCAGAGTTCAGAGAAAGGCATAGTGGCAGACTGCACTGTATCAGTAGTTCTCTTCGTAACATCAATGAACTTACTGCTCAAGGCAGGGATGATGCAGTGTAAGGTTTCAAAAGCAAATGAAGGTGCAAAACACTTACCATACAGAGCTTTCACGGATGACATCACAGTTATGACCAGTTCAGTAGTGGGTACAAGATTGGTTCTATTAGGTATGGAAAGAATGGCAAACTGGACTTGCATAAAGTTAAAAACCAACCAGGTCAAGAAGCATGGTTTTGGTTGATGGCAAGCTTTCTCCAATGCAGATCAAAATAAATGGCAAGCAAATACCAACAGGGCAAGATAAAGAAACAAATGTCTAGAGAAGAACTATGTGTGGTTTAAACAAAACAGCTGAAGTGTCAAGGGACGTGGACAAGTGGCTTAGAGCCATTGACTCAAGTCATATATCGGGGTGTTATGACATTACTCCCCGATTTCAGTTGCCTTTCCAGATTTACATTACCTGGGAATTACCTGACATTACATTACCTGACATTACCTGGGAACCCTCACTTCAGCACTTCTTGAAATGGAATGACCTTTGGTCCATGGACCAAGGGAGGCTCAATTTCCTATTAAGAGCTTTCCCTGACCTGGTCTCAACTCCATCAAACCTCAGACTTTGGGGCAAGGAAGAAACCGCCAACTGCCCCAAGTGCATGGCAACTGAATGACACAATACATTAAATCATATACTCATTATTTGGGTTACAGCTCCCACTAATGGACAATACAGATGGCATCATGATTGAGGCTAAAGATGCCCATACTTTGATCTGGGCCTACCTTCAATATCTATCTTGTGTTAATTTGATCTGGGCATTATTAACCAGTAACACTTTTAACATGTCTCATCAGATCAACTTTTGCATATGTGACAATAAAATAGCCTGACTTGTATTGTGCTGTCATATTGGAATAACACTATGATAATGAACACTTCATGTACTTGTAAGCAGTGCATACAAGATGCAAAATTTGGCCAACATTTCACCAATGAGCAACATTGGGCTCTATCTACATGACTCTGCTAGAGGAGCTTCAGCCCTTGAATTTGATATTAGTGTTTAGAAAACATTTTGAACAAAAGTGCCCCCCCCCCTCCCTTTTCAGTTACATAATCATGTGAAGTGTCAACACGTAATTTCTTACAAAGTTTTTCCAAAATTTCAATTGCAAATATGTTCAAAATTAATGTACCTATATATTTAAAATCATAAATGCTCGTGAATGACCAAGACTGTTACCCAGAGGGAGAGATATTGGTTGTTACCATTGAAAAATGCCAAAAATAATAGAGGTTGTCACATATTATGCAAATGGGTAAAATTTGCATAATTATTGCATTTTTATAAGTATATTATAATAGCTCCATTTTTGTTCCACTTACAGCTTTCAATTATCAAAACTGTGGAAGTTATTGTACTTTGAAATGATTAACATCAACTCTTTCTCAAGAAGTGCCACGCCCCTTTTCAGTAACATAATCATGTGAAGTGTTAAAACTTAGTGTCTGACAATGTTTTCCCAAAACTTTCAATTGCAAATATGTTCAAAATTAGTGTACCTATATATTCAAATTCATTTATGTTCATGGATCACTAAGACTGGTCACTCAGGCAGCAAGGTATTGTGCGATACCGTTGTAAAGAGGCAAAAATTACGATTAATGATGTCACATTTTATGCAAATGAGACTATTTGCATGATTATTACATCTTATAATATGGGATACTATAATAGCTTCATTTTGGTACCACTTACAGCTTTCAACTCTCAAAACTGTGGACGTTATTATACTTTAAGATAATTAACATCAATTCTTTCACAAGAAGTGCCACGCCTCTTTTCAGTAACATTATCGTGTGTCTGACAATGTTTTTCCAAAATTTTCGAATTTCTTTTTGCAAATATGATCAAAATTAATGTACCTATATATTTAAATTCATTTATGTGAATGAATGAATGACTAAGACTGATCATTCAGGCTGAAAGGTATAATGCGATACTGTTGAAAAGAGACAAGAATTATGATTGATGATGTCACATTTTATGCAAATGAGACAATTTACATAATTATTGCATCTGATAATATAGGATACTATAATAGCTTCATTTTAGTACCACTTACAGCTTTCAAATCTTAAAACTCTGGAAGTTATTGAACTTTGAGATAATTAACATCAACTCTTTCAAAAATCCAAGATGGCCGACAAGATGGCCGCCAATAGATACCATGGGACAATATTTCATTCTGGGAACATGCAAAAATCTTTAGTATGGACCTTTAGGATTACAAAAATGTACATTAAAAAAATACATCTTTCGGGTGCATGGGAACCCCTCCTTCCTACCCGTCTAATGCAAACCTGTAATATCTTTCGAGAAAAGGATTTTAAGTTCTTGTTAATGATTGATTTCTAATTATATCAGTAATTGGTTTGTGAGTGTACATGGATGTATGGATCCTTACATCACATATATTTTGAAATGAAATTTGATTAAAAATCATAATAAACATTATTTCTAAGGAGATTTACCACAAAGTTCCAAATTCAGAGTGATCGAATCTCATTTTGCTCCACCAGTTAATAGCTGCCGATGTGTAGTGAGTCATTGGGTGGCCATAGCGGGCCAGTTTAATTGCTGGCTGGAATAGTTCTGACCAGGGAAGCTTCCCGTGCCTCTGATGAGCAGTCCAGTACCCAGCTAACTCTCCAGGAATAGCTATTGATAGCAGTCCTAAAAATATTAAGCATTCAGCACTATATTATTAGGGGAGGATATTTAGCCATCCTGAGGTTTTGCAGCTTGACTTAGGAAGGAACGGGGAAGTGTGATATAGCTATTCTGAAGTCTTGAAAATTGATGTGGGAAGGAAGGCGAGTTGGTATGATTTAGCCTTTTGAAGTCTTGAAACATGACTTGGAAAGGGAGAGAGGTGTGGTTTAGCCATTTTGAAGTCTTGAAAATTGACGTGGGAAGGAAGGGGGAGTTGTGATTTAGCCATTTTGAAGTCTTGAAACTTGATTTTGGAAGGGAGAGTGGTGTGGTTAAGCCATTTTGAAGTCTTGAAAATTGACGTGGGAAGGAAGGGGGAGTTGTGATTTAGCCATTTTGAAGTCTTGAAACTTGATTTTGGAAGGGAGAGTGGTGTGGTTAAGCCATTTTGAAGTCTTGAAAATTGACGTGGGAAGGAAGGGGGAGTTATGATTTAGCCATTTTGAAGTCTTGAAACTTGACTTGGGTAGGGAAGGAAGTATGATTTAGCCATTCTCAATCTTGCAACTTGATTTGGGAAGGAAGGGGAGTTGTGATTTAGCCATTCTGAAATCTTGCAACTTGATTTGGGAAGGAAGGGGGAGTTGTGATTTAGCCATTTTGAAGTCTTGAAACTTGACTTAGGTAGGGAAGGAAGTATGATTTAGCCATTCTCAAATCTTGCAACTTGATTTGGGAAGGAAGGGGAGTTGTGATTTAGCCATTCTCAAATCTTGCAACTTGATTTGGGAAGGAAGGGGAGTTGTGATTTAGCCATTCTGAAACCTTGCAACTTGATTTGGGAAGGGAGGGGAGTTGTGATTTAGCCATTCTGAAATCTTGCAAGTCCTCAATGTTAAAATCATAAAAGGACGGGTGTCATTAAGGGCCCTTTTTAGCCCCCAAAGATATCTGATAATAATGCATATCATATTGAAGAAAAATCATTTGTGCTTTATAAAAATGCAATTTCAGCGAATTTTGACCTTTGATGTTCACACAACAGTCATTTAAAGATCATATACCATTTTTGGTGTTTTTACAAAAAATTCTTTATTTATTGTTGTCTAAGTAAATAGTATATAAATATTAACCAATTTAAATATATAAAAATGTAATATATGAAATACTGAAGAAAAGATACGATTAAAATTGTTTTCATGGAAAAACACATAGGGCAATATTGACAAAATGCAAATGCTATTTTGGTAGGTTCTGGGCTAGCAATGGGTACATTTCAACTGTGACTGTAATGGATTACTATTGACTTTTATCAGCATCACAGGGCAACATTTAAGCAACTTAAATACAAGGAAAATCAAAGATTTCCTCTCATTTCTAAAACGAGGAACAAAAGCATGAATTCAAGGAAAATAAATGATGGCCTGTGCAAAAATATATAACATATGAGAAAGTTGTGGCACAGTAAAGGATATGTATAGGATATTATATGATTTTAAATGATTTTATCTTTATCTCCGAGTTGATATCAATATCTTGCCAAGTTAGAATAGTGAATTAGCGCAGATATTGATATCAATGAGTTGGATTAACACAATATCACGAAAATTCATAGGATGTTCTATTTTTCCCATAGTTCACCTCTAAAACTAAACAAAACATATCAAAACAACATCCATTCATCCCCGTGATGTCATGAAATCACTATGTAACAAAACACATCATATTGGTGGTAGTTTTCAAATCCCTTCCAAAAGGTGATATCTGTGAAATATTTTCCGTATTCCACAGATATCACTTTTCCACGCATTTGCAAAATATCACAAATATGTTTTCATGTTACCTAACAGAGCGGAACAGAGTTCAACTATGGGATAAAGAATAAAAAATAGGTACATAATTGAATTACCACTCCAAAAATATTAAATATGAGGGTTTAAAGAAAGAATATTGAATATGAGATTCAAAAAGACAAGTGGCCTCATGTATCACATTACCCAAACCCCAGATCCTCGATGTCAATGTATACTGTATATCAATGTTATTTACTGGGAGGATTAAATATGGAGTGTATAGCAATGGTCAATACGATATTTCCAGATAGATATTTTTCCCTAGAAGCGGAACCCAAACTCAGTCATGACATAGAAGCTAACTTTTGCAATTAATAGAAACTTGTTTTTTATTATATTTTTGTGTTCTATATTTGAGATGAAATAATATGAGATTCATTTCTACAAGGATGGAACGAGTGTGAACTTGTATATTGAACTATACTCCTTTTCTGAATAAACAGAACAACATTTTATCCAAGCCAATTAAGAAAACCAAGGCCAATGAGTGTAATTCATGCCCAGTTAAACTAACACAATAACAACTTTTTGTCTGGACTCACTTATTATGTAAGAATGAATTGTATTACTGTTTACTGCATTAAATGTCAAGTATACGATCTGTATTTAATTTCAAATTCCTATCTCACTTATCGAAGGTATACAAGAAATGTTATTTTGAAACAAATTCAGCACAACCAAAACCATGTCCACATATATGACAAATCCAAGATGGCTGCCACAATTTTAGATCCATGCAGATGTGAAGAAGTTAGAAATACACATGGTCCACAAGTTCCATCCCCAATAAAATGGGAAGTTTAAGGTTTTCACACATATCAACTCTATTCCTATATACTTTATATTTGTGGTAAGGCTTGTGATCTAGGTAAACTTAGCATGTTCATGTACCTCCTATCCTCTGAAGCTAAAAACAGAAATAGTGACTTCAATTGAGAAAAATGAATATTATGGGCTCCATATACATTTTGAGTGGCTGTCCGGCTTAAGTTAGATACTACTGATAATCTGAGATTGAAAATTATGTCAAGTTTAGTTCTCAGCCTCTCATAACGGATAACTTCGAGGTAATTGTGTTGTCACTGCAAAAACCTCTATTTCTTCATCACAAATCTACCATCTTTTGCATCTGTCAAAACCCTTCATTTCATGTTAATTTTCAGACTTTTGCTTGTGCCATCATTAAATATATATATTCAACTTGTTATTCAGAATATTTTAAGAACTTTTCATGAATTTTTTTTATTTTCACACTTTTGAAAAAATGACTAAGTCAGAGAATGGCCTCTTAATGGCATGTCCCCTTTAGAACGTGGCCATTACTTATACTTAAATAATGTACTTCAACATTATTTCAATTAATTGAAAATAATTATACCCATTTTTATCATTGGTAAATGATTTGGATTGTTCAAAAAGTCTGTTCTGTTGAATAAGTCTGTATCTGTTGCCATGGGTGACACTTCTCTGGCATCTATATGTTCTGCTTGTTCAGACTTGCGGTCATACACAACCATGTTGAATCCTAGATAACGAAAATATTGAATTAATTTAGAAAACCTTTTCTGGATGATCTGTTTTTTGATACAGTAATCTTATTTTGATTTCTGTTATGTCAGTGTGCACAAAACAATTAAACCTTTATTATTAGTTTTACATTATGTCATCTTTTGATATTTCTCAAAGCAATTGGTAATTATTACCTCCTCCTATTCCCATAGCATGAGGCATCTTCACTCCCAGGCATAACATTGTTGCGATTGTAGCATCAATCGCTGACCCTTGCTTTATGTTCAGAAAATCACTAAAAAATATTCAAAATGAATATACTGTTAAAACAATCAATACATTATATAGTATTGCAGTACATGCTGAGTGTCCCAAAAAACTGCACCCAACATTTTAGATAACATGCTCTAGATGTGTAAGTTTGATTTGACAAAATGTTAAGTAACACATTATGATATCATTTTGATTATCAGTTTATAATCAGTGTCCTGAGTCAAACATATACCAATGAGGCCAATTCCCAAGTCCCCCATCGAGTACTCCATTAAGTCCTGTCAGATTTTAATTTATCCCATCGAACGAAGTTCGGAGGGATATAGGGAACGCCTCCGTCCGTCCGTCCGTACGTACGTCCGTACGTACGTACGTCCGTCCGTCCGTCCGTCCGTCCGGGCAATAACTCAAATACTGTTGGCCCGATTTTGTTCATATTTTGTACACATATACCCTATTGGGGTAGTAGTTCTGCTCGAAAGCAGATTTTCAAAATGGCCACTCATTTCAAAATGGCGGCCATTTTAGTGCCGATTTTACAGTAATTTAGGTGTAATATGTAAAACTGTAATAGCAATATGTTTTAAATGTAAAAGAATTATAAAGGACATTAATAATGCTACAAATGTAGATATTAAAGAAGCACATGGCAGCCATCTTGAAAAATGGCGGCCTTTACTCGTCATTTTACGATTTTTGCTATAACTCAAAAAATAGTGGAGCGATTTTGTTCATATTTGGTATGTGAATACTATAAGCATTGCACACTGTCTAAAGACACTTTTGGTAGAAGGCGGCCATTTTGAAAAAAATTTTGAAAAATGGCCGCCATTTTAATGTATTTTGCTATAACTCGAAAAGTAGTGGAGCGATTTTGTTCATATTTGGTATGTGAATACTATAAGCATGGCACACTGTCCTATGACACTTTTGGTAGAAGGCGGCCATTTTGAAAAAAATTTTGAAAAATGGCCGCCATTTTAATGTATTTTACTATAACTCGAAAAGTAGTGGAGTGATTTTGTTCATATTTGGTATGTGAATACTATAAGCATGGCACGCTGTCTATTTCTAATGACACTTTTGGTAGACAGTGGCCATTTTGAAAAATGGCCGCCATTTTAACGTATTTTACTATAACTCGAAAAGTAGTGGAGCGATTTTGTTCATATTTGATATGTGAATACTTTAAGCATGGCACATTGTCTAATAAAACTTTGGGGAGTAGTGGGCCATTTTGAAAAATGGCCACCATTTTTATGTGTGTTATTTTACAAGTACGTGTGCGATTTTCAAAAATTTTAGAGGTGGCTACTTAAAAGCACATTATTTCTTCTGGTGACAACTTGGCTAGTGAGCAACCATTTTGAAAATGGTGGCCTTTCTGGTGTGTTGTTTTATGATATTTGCTATTCGTTTGTAAAAATGCCAGCCATTTCTGTTCGATGGGATTCGCTACGCTTTGGCGTTGCCGTTGTTCTGGTTGATTTTCTGTAACTTGGTAAGACTCCATATTATTAATGCAAAACAATATGATTCAACTATTACTTTAAAAATAAAAATGAGTATTGGCTATTGAAGCATGATGTAATGTCACATACATTATCACATTTATTTTTATAGATGTACTTTTTATATTTCATGAATGTGTTCTAATCAACAAACCAACATTTATTTTGAGCAAAATTTTAATTTTTAATTTTCCCATAATGAGCAGATATAATATATTTGCCTACTCAGCCAGGATGAAATTATTATCCTGCCTGCTGTTGAAAATACAACATTTTACAAACCTGCTTTATGACCTCAAACATGACCATTATTTTCTGAATTTATAACCGACTATAAATTCAAAATAAACAGTTCAAAAGATTCGAACCAATATCTCGATAATTTCTTGTGAGTTTTGGAATTTTTTGTTAGGAAATAAGAACAAAATTCACGATTCAAATGTTGAAGTGAACAGAATGGCGGCTGTTTGAATTCAAATTTTCTATCACGACATGCCCATATATGGGACAGAATATCAATGTTGCACTCTGGGTGCCAATCCTCCATGTTGCTTAACTCCACAACTCCATGTTGCCTTATGTCAATTTTTGATTTAGTTTGTACCTATTAGTAGAAAATAATATATAATAGTGATAATAAAGGTATTGTATGTACCTTCCAATTTGTCTGCATTCAGCATCAGCAGCTATGACCACACCTTTCTTTGCTGCATCCCCGAAACATCCTTTCAAGTAACATATTAAACATAATACCAAATAAGGTATCAGTACAGTTCTCCATCTTGAACCTTCTTGTGTCATTTTTAAATATAACTTTGAATAAGTATACTTTTGAAATATAGTTCGAGATATTATATCCTACTTCCGGAAGCTCTGGTTTAAGAATGAGCATGCATCTGAGGCTTAAATTAGGTACAGGGAAATAGAGAACAGGTGATATTGAAACAATTAATTTTTATTTTTTCATTTCAAGGAGATAATATGAGGGCTTTAATTGATTGGCAGTTAATACTATTAACAGGGTGTAGGTGGTATGGCCATTTTACCTGAACATTTATAATTGATTTGGTTCATGATGGTAGTAGGTGCATTAACTGCACATTCAAGCTGGTTTCTACATCTGAAAATGTGATCCTGGGCACTGCTAAGGAAAATACTGAATGGCGAAAAATGAATCAATGTTTGTGTGTTAAAATGGTGACCTTAAAATAACATTTGTATATCCTGTGCTAGACCACCTTTTTACATGAATTTAAAGTCACATGAAATTCTTAAATGAGTAAACGACAATTGTAGATGGTCTAGTCTGTTAGAATTGACCACAGTACCATAAAAAACTGAAAAGTGAATAAAATATCTAAAAGTTATTTTTCAAAGCTTTAAATTAGATACAATTACAAAAACATAAGAATGTGTTTGGAGCAGTAGGAGTTTTTATCACGTTACATTATGTAATATTATATAACATTACGTCACAAGTTATTAAATATTAATAACTAACCCCCATACACTAAACTAAAGCTAAAACTAAAAAACAATATATAATAAACCAAAGAAAAAATGTAAAAACCCACAAATGCAATAAAATTACTGGGAGGGAGGGTGTGGAAGAATTGTAGCTTATTGCTTAATGTGCTTATTTGCTGGGCGTTGGCTTAAACTGATCATTTAATGTTATGAGCATAATATGTAGGCTGTAATGTCACATCCCAATGACTTTAAGATTGTATCAGTGTACAAAAATACCTTAGGCCCCCAGGCGTAAATTGCCCAAATTTAAATACAAATATTATCATATCTTTTAAAGAAAATTATTCATATTGTTATAATTTCTTCTAATTTCAGCCGTTTGTCTGAGATAGAGAGTCTATTACACAGGACAGAAGAAGACTACAAAGGTCAAGTAGAGAGACTAACTGCTGACCTGCATAATAAAACCAGTGAATCTGGAATACATAAATTAGAAAATGAACGACTGAAGGTATGCTATTAGCCTTGCCCAAGTCGGTCTCTTCTACTTATTTTGATTTCTATTATGACCAATAATTCAAGATCAGATAAGTAAAAAAAATACCGACTTGGGCAAGGCTAGTATACTATGTAAATGTTGTCCTTTTGTTATATAAAATAAATAATTTTTATCTAAATTTTGTCATCTTTAGTGCAAATGTAACCATTATTCACTCAGTGTTTGCTTATTGCCATCATGATAATTACCTTTTCCATTTCTACAAACTGTTCACAAATAATTATCTTACTTCTGTATCAATTTCATTCATATCTTCAAGGCTCAGAGAGTGTCTTACGAATGTACTTCTCAAAACAAATGACATACTGAGTCAAAATATAAATCTAAAATGGAAGGGGTTGGTAAACCCCCATATTTTGAAGTGAACGTCATTTTTACATCAATGAGCTTAATCCAAGAGGGGAGAGAGTATGTAATTCTTCCTTAAAGACCCCATGCAAAAATGTAGTTTGCTTGTACTTGTAATTATTCAAATATAACTTTTTGTCACTTTAAAAAAATTATTTAAGTATTTTTTGAATATGTGACTTTTGAAAAAAGAATTTATTGAAATTTTCACATAAGTATTTAAATTTCCCACCATATATCATCAAATACAAGGCTTACCATTGTAAAACACATAAATATCTCCATTGAATGGATCAGGCTAAAGTCACTGTATATATCTGTAGCTGACATAGAATACTTGAACGCAGCAGATGCAGATCACTGCTCCCAGATTTTGTTACATTACAGATTTTATAGAAGACATCTCTAGCTTACAGAAGACAAGCTCTCTCAGGCTAATACAGATTTTATTACATTGTAGACATCTATAGATAACATAGAAGACAAGCTCTCTCAGGCTAATACAGATTTTATTACATTGCAGACATCTATAGCTAACATAGAAGACAAGCTTTCTCAGGCTAATACAGATTTTATTACATTGCAGACATCTATAGCTAATATAGAAGACAAGCTTTCTCAGGCTGATACAGATTTTATTTTATTGCAGACATCTATAGCTATCATAGAAGAAAGCTTTCTCGGGCTGATACAGATTTTATTATATTGCAGACATCTATAGCTAACATAGAAGAAAGCTTTCTCAGGTTGATACAGATTTTATTACATTGCAGACATCTCTAGCTTACAGAGGACAAGCTTTCTCAGGCTAATAAAGATTTTATTACATTGCAGACATCTATAGCTAGCATAGAAGACAAGCTTTCTCAGGCTAATACAGATTTTATTACATTGCAGACATCTATAGCTAACATAGAAGATAAGCTTTCTCAGGCTAATACAGATTTTATTACATTGTAGACATCTATAGCTAACATAGAAGATAAGCTTTCTCAGGCTGATACAGATTTTATTACATTGTAGACATCTATAGCTAACATAGAAGACAAGCTTTCTCAGGCTAATACAGATTTTATTACATTGCAGACATCTATAGCTAACATAGAAGATAAGCTTTCTCAGGCTAATACAGATTTTATTACATTGTAGACATTTCTAGCTTACAGAGGACAAGCTTTCTCAGGCTAATACAGATTTTATTACATTGAAGACATCTATAGCTAACATAGAAGACAAGCTCTCTCAGGCTAATACAGATTTTATTACATTGCAGACATCTATAGCTAACATAGAAGATAAGCTTTCTCAGGCTAATACAGATTTTATTATATTGTAGACATCTATAGCTAACATAGAAGATAAACTTTCTCAGGCTGATACAGATTTTATCATATTGCAGACATCTATAGCTAACATAGAAGACAAGCTCTCTCAGGCTAATACAGATTATTACATTGCAGACATCTATAGCTAATATAGAAGACAAGCTTTCTCAGGCTGATACAGATTTTATTACATTGCAGACATCTATAGCTAACATAGAAGATAAGCTTTCTCATGCTAATACAGATTTTATTACATTGCAGACATCTATAGCTAACATAGAAGATAAGCTTTCTCAGGCTGATACAGAAGTTACAGCATTGAAGTCAAGTTTGCGAAAATATGAAACACTAGTTGATGAGTATAAATCCCAGGTGAGTTTTATGATTTGAGTATGGGTTGAGTACTTTATGACATACTTTGAGTATTGAAAGTATTTCCTATGAGTGACCTAATTGAGTACTTCCATGCAACTCAGCCTTGAGTATTAGTATTGAATATGTTCTCTGTGGGTTGAGTACTCTATTGCAAAACTTTGCATTGACTTTGCAAATCTGTTATACATTTATAAAATGATTTGTTGGAAATTATGCAATTCATTACTGTATTCTCATAAGGCCTACAATGATAAAATGAAGATTTCACAAGCTGAGGCAGAAATGACATTGTTAAAGTCAAGTGTACAACACTTTGAAACATTAGCCGAAGAGTATAGAACTGAGGTAGGCATCCTTAAGAGTAGCATGCCTTGAGTATATTGGAAAGCAGTTTCAGTTGAAGGGGGTAGTGAGGGATCCTTTGTATACTTTATATTTTAGAACACTTTTGCCTCATTTGTCCCAAAATCTACTTTGTTACCTTGATAACTCACCCATCTGATACCTGTCATGCCATCAACTTAGTTTTTCTCAGGTGGATTTTTAATGCTTAAAGTGTGTCTGAATCAGATGCATATCATTGAGATAATCTGGAGAATAGATAAGCCATATTATCAGATTGTACAAATTATCGCTTAAAATATAATTTAAAGTTGCACTGTTTTTTTATATGGTTGTACTGATGTGTTCGTTCAAAACAATATTATTGGTTCGCATGTTTCTAGCTCACTTGGTGAGCTTTTGGAATGGGTCATTTATATTCATGATTCAAGTGTCAGTGAACCTCATTACTAGCCCCTTAAATGTTTGGAATCAGGCCTGCAATGATAAAATGAAGATTTCACAAGCTGAGGCGGAATTGACATCATTAAAGTCAAGTTTACAACACTTTGAAACATTAGCCGAAGAGTATAAAACCGAGGTAGGCCTCGTTGGAGTAGCATGCCTTGAGTATATTATTGTGTTATTCCAATATGATTTAAAAAGCTCAGCTCTAGAAAGCAATGTTAAAACCAAGTGCTGCTATAGATTGATTTGTCCGTAGATGTTAAACAGTTGAACCAGAGTAGTAGAATAACTGTCATTTTAACAGGGAGCCTCAAATCTTCTATAAATTCCGACCTCCCTCTCTCCAGTTATTCCTTCTCAATTTAAGCCTTGAATAATTTTTCATGAAATATATATTTATGTGTATAGTACATGTAGAGTGTCTAAACTCTTAAATACAAGTCACATATAAAGAGAATAAAAAACAGGCATGTTATTCAACAGATCATAGTTTAAGTATTATTTAAGGTTGCATTGTTGTATTATGATAAGAATTTATTCATCATAAATATTTTTGTTGTATGTTTGTGATTATGTAGCTCCACCTCCCTGCAAGTCCCCTTAGTCTTTCTGCCAGACTCAAGGTATACAGTCAACAATCTCAATAGTCTCAAATGCTTGTACAATTCTAAACTTAGCTTTAACAAACATGTCTATAAATATATCATTTTACCCACTGTGAAGGGCTGACCTTTTGTCATTTTAGTTCCATTTTGTTTTTACCTTTTGTTATTAGCCAACATTTTTTGTGACCTTTTGTTAGTCACTGTTTCTTGTGAACTTAAGCCTTCGGCATTGACTTTCACGGTTACTGTACTTTCATAATTGCATCTAGGTGATGATATTTTATTTATCTTTTTGAGCCAATGCAAAATTGAAACTGAAGGGACATTTTGAAATAATATGTTGTAGTTTTTATGAATCATGATTTTCCAGGCATTACAATTTCAAAATGCAATCCAGGTTTAGTTAACTCATGATATACAATAAAGAAATGTGCCCTGGTAAATATTCAATGAAGAATTTTTTTATATCACCGTCAAATTGCAATTGTATGATTGGCCAAAGCTTGGTCACATGCAATTAAAGATTAAAATATCACCTTAGAAAGATGTAGAGGTATGCACCTCAAAAATGAAATATTTGTATAATGTTTTTCTGAGCTGGGTTTTGAATTTGTAAGATTAGTGTTGAGAACTATCACGTTGGCAGACCAAATCTTGATATTGTTATTTTCACACTTTTTTGTAAAAACACTGATAATGATACCAATTCTGGTGGTCATTATTGACACACATACATTTGTATGGTAGACCATGTTTTGAATTATTTTAATATAACTTTAGTTGAATATTTTTAGTTCAGTTCCAGATATGATTTACAGAATTTTTATTTTATGTATTTCAAAATTGATATTTTAAAATGCAGGGTGCAAGGCAAGTTAATGACAATATGAGATTTAATTTGTTTTCTGCATGCAGTTAATGTTGTGTCCTCCTTTTTTGTCCAACGTGTCTGACTCTCTCTCTCTCTAACTCTATCTCACTTGTCTTTGACCATGTCATGAATGTGCACTACCATAGTATAGTTTATTCTGCTATCAAACTGATGCTGCCTCAGATTTTAGTTCATGTTTTAGGTTGCGATTTGTTGATGACATAACATGGATTGGGATGTATATATTTCAGATATCAGTGTTTTATGCTAAATGTTAATATACACTTGGGGTATGTGGTTAGAATTCAATTTGAAGTCTCTTGATATTGCACACCTTTGAAGGTCAGTGCTTGGCCAGTGCCTGCTGTTGTTTAATACACTCATACTTCATTCATTGCGAGTATAATTTATAATCATCCACCATTTTCTTTTTGAATCAGTGGTACCTGTTACACAGCTTCGTAATGAAGGATATTTTGAAGCAATTAATTAAATTAATTTGAAGCAGTGTAACTCTAACTGTAAAATGTCACTTCATATATTTCCTGTTAATACTTGCATTAATACATTAAATTACAATTATAACATGTATTAAATTAATACATGTATATATCTACAGATGAACAAGTCACGTCGTGAGGCAGATGAGGTGTCTGTTCGTCTGGAAGAGTCGGTACGTGAGACAAGACATATAGAAAAGGACAGTGAAATCAATCTAGAGAAGGTGAGTCATTTTATTACAGATGAAAACAGAACAACAAATAATCACAAGTTGAAGATGGTATTTTAATTGTTGTAAAATATTAATTTAGTTCAAGGTTTGTGTTAATGAAGCCATATTGCAAACCATGAATTTGATCAATGACAAGACAAGATTTAATAAGCATTTTGTATAATCATTATTATCCCAATGAACGAAGTTCGTTAGGGATAGAGTGAAGCCCTCCGTCCGTCCGTCCGTCCGTCTGTCCGTCAGTCCGTCCGTCTGTCCGGAAGATAACTCAAATACTAGTTGACAGATTTTCTTCATATTTAGTGGAAAGATGTATATTGGTGAATAGTTTTACGCTTTTTCAAGATGGCCGCCGCTTTAAAAATGACGGGACTTTTTCGCAAAAATCATAAATTTTTCATTCTAAACCAAAGTAATTAATATTATTGTTTGAAATTTTGGTAGTGTAATCACAACATTTATCTATTTCACATATATTCCGTGTTTTTCATCCTGACCCCCAGGGGCCATGTATGGGGGGACAGGAAAACAGAAATTTTCGCTAATTTTTAGATCTTACTGAAGTATAGCTTTATTATACTCAAATGAAAGGCAATTAAGAGTAGATTGCAAATATTGTATATTTTTTCTGATTCGAGTCTCGTAAAATTCAAAATGGCCGTCTAATGTACGATTTCGCAATAATTTTTCGATCCCTTCAAAGTATGGCTATATTATACTCAAATTGAAGGAATTTTGGAGTAGATCACAATTATGGTATTATTTTTCAGATTTGTACCTCAGAAAATTCAAAATGGTTGCTTTGCAGGAATTCGCAATTCTAAAATCTAATTTTTTCATTTTCAACCAAAGTAATGAGTATAATTGATTGGAATTCGGTAATTGATATTTTGTTCGTTGGGATTTGCTACTCCGCGGAGTTGCCGTTATCTAGTTGTAATAATCTTAATTTATAATATAAAATAAATTACTCATGAATTGTAAAAAACTAAGAAAATTCACTGTTTTAGAGAAAATGACAGATATTTTTGTGTGTTATTTTTACAGGTGAAATTGCGTCTCCAGAACCGCTTACTAGAGCTAGAGCCGCTACCAGAGCTGTTGAAGACAACTGAATTGAGACTGCAAGATGCCAATGATCGCATCATTGGCTATGAACAACGAAACACAGAGAATGCAAAGCTAATAGCTGAACTCACAGTGAAGGTAAGGCGATCAATTGTACTTAATTGAAAAAATGATTGTGTTGATTCTTGTGCAGTCAGTTGTGCTGTTTATCGAAGATTAGATGTAAGAATCATTTGGTTGACAAGTTTGATGAAAGCAGTTGAAAGGACTTCTTTTACTGATTTCCTAAAAATATCTCTTTTTAGTGTTTAAAAATTGTGCGTTGCTGTTAACAATACTTTCATAATATTATTAGTTCACTCGATTGTAATATTACCCCAGAAATTGTAACAAAACCATAGTGAACTAAACAAAGTGGAATTTGACATAGCTTATAATACATGTATCCATATAAAAAAATTAACTAATCCCCTAGGGTAAACTCAGTGCTTTATGTCACCAGAATTTTCAGACACTTTAAGGTTTATCACTTTGCAGTTGTATATGAAACTCATGCTGTTTGTTTTGATTCTTATTATATGAGAATGGATATATTTAATGTATTCACGTTACAGTTAGAACACAAGACAGAGAACCTAGAGAGCTTAAAAGAGAAAATTCATGACATTCAGGATGAGAATAGAACCCTGAAAGCCCAGCTGGAGACCTTGGATAGACGTCAGAAAGATATTGATGAGCAGAATCGCCACCTGAATGAGTCAATGGGCAAGAAAGAAGAAGCCAACAACCAATATAATGTGAGTGTTTGGGATTATACACAACTTTGTGTTACCCTTTGATTGTATACTCATATAGTACTAATAGGATATGAATACATGTATATAAATGTACATGATCTCCACATGATACATTGTCTTCACTTGATACATTTTATCCACATGATATTTTGTCATCTCATTATGTCTTCATATGATACGCTACCACACAAATGATAATCTAGATGGAATGCATGTTTAATTGATTGTTTTTTAATGTGATTTAGTTGCGAATTGATGAGTTAAAGAGAGAGAACAGTAGTCTTACAAGGCAATTAGAAACAGCACTTAGTGAAACACGAAGACTAGCTGAGGATAACAGAGAGAAGGCTGCATCAAAGGTACTTAATATTTAGACAAGGGTGTAGCATATGCAATGGCCCAGATTCCCTTCAGCTTGTTGAATCTTATTTGGCCAACTTATTAATCAACATTGAAAAGTAAATTTCTCATGACATCATCTAAAGAGAATAATAATATGACTAAGAATTCAGAAATTCATTTTAAGGAATTGTGCCTCTCCTTTAGTTAAAAGATGATTTACACTTCATTCCACTGTATTTGCAGGAGAGGGCTATCCAGTCCAGGCTTCTAGAGTTAGAGTCACAGCTGAGCCAGGGGAGGGCAGATATTGCCAGATATAAGAGGGAAAAAGAGGAGGTATGTAGCCAATATCCCATTCAATAAAATGAATAATCAGTAATACGATGCAATAAATGAGCCTCGCCATAGGAAAACCGGTCTGATCACAAAAATTTAAATTGTGCTACAGAACCAAAAATGTGCCCACGATTAAGAGGAAAATGTGCTAAATTCAAATCCACCTTTTTGGTCTATATCTGCAAGGAAAAAGTGTTAAGACACAAGCAATGGCTCATTTGAAAGGTCTCTTTGTGCTTTTTAATAAAAACAAAAAATCAAAACATTGAAAAAAATGTGATGAGACCCCTTTTCCAGTGGCCTGGCTCAAATAGTGCATACATTACATAGTCAATCTTATGTATTGCATCCATATTTATAATTATGAATCGTGTGATGTCTACTGCATTCATGTTATGTTGATTTGATGTTGAGGTGTTCTCAGGGTTTATATATATATAATAAGAACAATTTTTAGTTCTATCCAGCCAACTTATGCTATGCCATGGTCATTCTTAATATAACACCATGTTTAATTTTTTTACGTGCAAAAATTTACGAAATATTTCAGGCTGAGAGGAAATGCAACTCCCGTCTATATGATCTGAAAGACCGACTGGAACAGTCCCACAGTACAAATCGAAGCATGCAGAACTATGTCCAATTTCTCAAGAGCTCATATGCCAATGTTTTTGGGGACACATCTATATCAGGAGGTCTACCAGCTAGCTCCCCGTTCAAATCCTCATTACATTAACTGAACTCATATCACTGACTGTGGTGTCCATGTGGCACTATTAATATTAAAGGAAATAGAAGGGATAAAGATAGTAAAATGTTGGAAGCAATATTTTTAAAAAACATGCAATGTTTACCTTAACATACTTAATATATTTTTGAAAAAGAAATTAAGATATTTGATTCAAATGTAGATAGATACAAAATGAACAAAAAATAGAAGGATTATCCAAAAATTAAGACAATTGCACATGGAATGACGAAACCAAAAAAATAAAGTTGTGACAACTTTTCATAACTTTCACTCAAATCATCTCTATCACTTTTAGTTCCTTTGAATTCATCCCTTCATGTTTGGCTTATTACAGTGTCAGCATTCAATTTTCATTCTTCACTCGTTCATTTATCAATATGGTCACATATGGATAGAAATGATTTACATAACATTGCTGAATCATATATGACTTAAGTTGGAATTCAAATTAAGTTTAAAGTTGCCACTCAAGTTAATACTCAATATGTTATTCAAGATTTTATATACAAATCTTGACAATATACCATTCAAGATTTTATTCAAAATAGTATATGACTAGCTGAAGTTGTGATTAGTGGTCAGTGTGTAATAATATACAATTATACATATTTGGCATGAAATATTGCATTACAAAATTACTCCCATGTATTATTTAACATGTTTTATTACTTTGGCATGAATTTACATTTTATATGTAGTATTATTAATTAATTTATAATGGTGCTTGTGAGTGTGACATTCAGTTGGATCTGTTTATACAGGGTGTCAAATAAGTCCCGTCCCCCCTGCTACAGCTAAAACCTTAACAGACGGTACCTAGTGTGACATACCATCGGAAAGATCATCCAAAGTTATGTTAACTCACCAACTCTCAAGTATTTTGGATGAAATTTACCTATATTTTTATGATGTCTTTTAAAATTAGCGTGCCCTCCTAGATCCTTTAAGTAGCTTTTTTGCGTCAAAATGAGAAGGATTTGACCACAGAAATACATCAAAAAGTTAATCTTTTTCACATTCCACTTGTTACAAAAAGGTTTTCACCACTTTCCTTGCACCTCTATTTTCTAGAAAAAGGTTAAATGCATCGCCATAAACATATTTAGTCATATTTTGGTCCCGTGACCTCTCTTATACACAATTCTTAAAATCGTGCCAAATACGCCAAATTGCCATGTTTCTAGGCATATGGTCACCTCAATTGATACAATGTAAAAATTTCTGAGATTGATTGACATGTGTCAGATATATGCAAATCAACGTAACGTTGGAAGGCCTTTCCAATGATATATCGCACTTGGTACCAAATATCTTGGTTTTGGCTGTAGAGGGGGGGACGGGACTTATTTGACACCCTGTATATATCTACATATTATTAAATTCCATGTAAATAAGATTGGAAAGAATAAATACACTGCCATTTAGAAAGTAAAATCTTTGTTCACTTTGAAGTATCAAGATGCAAAAATCTGAGATAAAATCTTAAACATAGTTGACAACCTGTAATAAGTGACGGTACTGTTTGGCAATTGGTAATAATGTCAAAGGCATTCAATGTGTATGCAGGATTGAATATTTGTAGGTGTAATAACAGAATAATCTAGTTCCACAAGGGAGTCAAAATAGGTAATCCCTATTGAATAATAAATTGTCATCCACATTTTTCTTTGATTGCTAGACTGCTGCTCACATGTAATACGTATATTATCCCCTTTATAGGATGAAATGCTCCAATGAGTTCTATTCCAAAAATTATTAAATTCTAATTGGATTGCCATTAAAAGATCAGCATTATATTCAGTTTTTGTTTTTATACAATGAATATTTCACCAGATAAAACACTTGTCACTTGTACATGACTGTCTATGTCTAGTTGATATGAAAATGCCAATAACAAACACTATTATAATTTTTTATTAATCATTTATTTTATTAATCACATTGATCATTCAGAAAATGTCTGATATCACATTTAAAATAAAATGTATCCATTTTTATTATATTATGGAAATAAAACATCGTTGGGGCCTATGTTAACTCTTGTCAGACTACACATGTATATATATGTAACATGAAATTTCCAGTTATCATCAAGCATGGTTTTCCATAAAATAACTGGCCTTGGAAATAATTTTTTACATAAAAGCTATGATGACAATCTAATATTTGACATAAAATATGATAAACATCAATGTATTACTGTACTTGTACTTAAATTGGCGGCCATTTTAATTTGGCGGATTGGCCAAATTGTTAAAGTCGGCCAAATAAAGGAGCCACCAAAATCCCTGGTAATTTTAGTACCATGTAAATTAAGACTGTTAGTATCCATCAAATAAGTAGCTGCCAAATGTCAAAACAGAAAATCCGCCAAAATAAGTAGTACCAAATTAAGTAGAAGTACAGTAAATGAACTAAAAATACTAAAATCAATTATTTAATGAAATAATTCTGCCTGGACACAACCTTTTCATGCAAGGATTCAAGTGTACATGTACAGTGTATGTTAAATTATAAATAATTATAATAACTAGACTGGTGAAATTGAACAAGTTCAATTCAAGACTCCAGATTCAGATTGTTTATCTCAAAACCATTTTGAGATCTGATATTAATGAAAGGGTTGAGATTGTTACAATTTGGTGGCAGTGGTAGGATTTTTTTGAGATTTCAAAAGCCCATAACTTCTAAACCGGAAGTCGGATCTCAATTTTGTTTTCAGATTCGGAATCCTGAGAAAATTTTCTATTACAACCTTAATTTGAACTTTGATATTAATGAGAAATAAAAATATATCAGCCCGATTGACATGACATGGGGATATCATCAAATCTTTTTTTCAAAATTTCAAAAGGTCAGAACTCCTGAACCTGAAGTCGGATCACAATTTCGTTTTCAGATTCGAAATCTTGAGGAAATTTCCTATTTAATTAATACCAATTTTGATAGATTTGGATCATTTTAAAATTCAACTTCTTTTTAAAGTCAAATTTCTCAAAATTGATAATTTTTTTATCAAGACATACATTTAGCAAAATGTTTGACACACTTAGAGAAACATAGAAAAATATTTATAGCAAGAAATATTGAAAGATAAAAAAGAAAATTGAAAATTAATGAAATTAAAAAAATTGACCTAGAATTTGACCTTTGACCTAGATATAAATTTGACCTAATTTCCCAGAAACTAGGTCACATACCCTAACTGACCTTGTAATTAGATTTACTCCAAGTCTTCCAGTTACTGAGAAAACGTGCTAATAAGAATAATAAGAATAACTAGACTTTGGAAATTGAACAAGTTCAATTTCAGACTCCAGATTAAGACCTTTTTTTAGCCGAGTCATCCAGAAAAAGCCGAGTCATCCAGAATAAGCCAAGTCATCCAGAATAAGCTGAGTCATCCAGCATAAGCCGAGTCATCCAGAATAAGCAGGTGGATGGCTGGACTGATGGATGAATGGATGGATTGATAGGAGGAAGGATAGGACAGAATAGGAAGGAAGGATGGGATAGAATAGGAAGAAAGGATAGGATAGTATAGGGTATGAAGGATAGAATAGGATACGATAGAATCCGAAGAAAGAATAAGATGGGACAGAATAGGAAGGGTAGGATAGGATAGGAAAGAAGGATAGGATTGGATAGGATAGGTGGGATGGATATTATAGTCGAGTCATCCAAAATAGCCAAGTCATCCAGAATAGGCTGAGTCATCCAGAATAAGCCGAGTCATCCAGAATAAGCCGATGGATGGATGGATTGATGGATGAATGGATGAATTCATAGGATAGGAAGGATAGGACAGAATAGGAAGAAAGGATAGGATAGTATAGGATAGGATATGAAGGATAGAATAGGATATGATAGAATCTGAAAAAAGAATAAGATAGGACAGAATAGGAAGGATGGGATAGGAAGGAAGGAAGGAAGGATAGGATAGGAAGGATAGGAAAGAAGGATAGGATTGAATAGGATAGGTGGGATGGATATAGTCGAGTCGTCCAGAATAAGCCAAGTCGTCCAGTCCTATCCCTCTTTCCTATCCTTCTTATCCTATCCTTCCTTCCTATCCTATCCTATCCTATCCTTCCTTCCAGAATAGGAAGGAAGGATAGGATAGAATAGGAAGAAACGATAGGATAGTATAGGATAGGAAGGAAGGATAGGAAAGAAGGATAGGATTGGATTGGATATATGATAGGATATAGGATAGATATAGGATAGGATATAGGATAGGATAGGATAGATAGGATGGATGGAAGGATTTTTCAATATTTTCTTCACTACTCTTGACTTTCTATCAGGATACCATCATATTGATTTTTTCGATCTTGCGCATGCTTATTGGCAGGTTAAAAAAAAGTTTTAAAATGTCATAACTTTTGAACCGGAAGTCGGATCGAAATTTGGTTTGCAGATTCGGATTCCTGAGAAAATTCTACCCTTAGTTCATATGTCATACGTTGAATTTGGAGAACTTTTTGTCGTGACCTACTTTCTGGACGCCATATTTAAAAATCGGTAAGAGTAATCAAAAATCTAATGTCATATCTTTGCTTCGGCTTTTTCTAAGCTACATAATGAAAAAAAGATTTAGGAGTTACGATAAACAACGACGAAGATAAATGACAGAATGTTGAAAATGTAAGATTTGACCTAGTTCTTGACCTTTGACCTAGATAAAAATTTGACCCAATTTCCGAGAAACTAGATCTAGAACCTAAATGGACCATATATAGGACTTGACTCAATATCTTCTAGTTAACGAGAAAACTGGGAAAGAATAATAATAAAGAATAATAATAACTAGACTTTGGAAATTGAACGAAGTTCAATTTCAGACTCCAGATCTAGACTTTTTTAAGCCCAGTCATCTAAAATAAGCCGAGTCATCCAGAATAAGCTGAGTCATCTAGAATAAGATGGATGGATAAAATAGGAAGGTAGGATAGGATAGAATGGGAAGGAACGATAGGATAGAATAAGAAAGAAGGATAGGATAGAACAGAATAGGAAGAAAGGATATGATAGGAGAGGATAGGAAGGATAGGAAGGAAAGGATACGAAGGAAGGATAGATAGGAAGGATAGGATAGGATAGGATCAGATAGGAAGGATGGATGAATTTTTCAATATTTTCTTCTCTACTCTTGACTTTCTATCAGGATACCATCAGATCGATTTTCCAAAATTCCAAAACGCCATAACTTCCGAACCGGAAGTCGGATCTAAATTTGATTTAAAGATTCGGATTCCTGACAAAATTCTACCCCTAATTCACAACTCATACATTAAATTTGGCGAATTTTTATTTTGACCTACTTTTTGGACACGCCATAACTTCAGAACCGGAAGTCGGATCCAAATTTGGTTTGCAGATTCGGATTTCTGAGAAAATTCTATCCTTAATTCATAACTCAAACGTTAAATTTGGAGAACTTTCTATTTTGACCTACTTTTTGGACACCATATCTCAAAAGTGGGTCAAAATACTTTCTGACGGCAAAAGGCTAACGCTATTAGCATACTCTTGGCTACATGTATACACAATTTCGAAGAATATAATTAAAGTGTAGTGTCAGAATCGCAAAAATAAGAAAAAACTTGGAATTTGACCTAGATTTTGACCTAGGCATTTTGGTGTCCAAATTTTGAAGCTATGTGGCTTTTGAGGTCCCCTTCTTTTAAAGGCTTTGATTATATGAAGCTGAACTCAGTCTATATTTCGTATTTTTCACTTCAAAAAAATCTTTTTTCCCATTGACTTAACATGGGCACCAAATTTAGCGATTTTTGAGTTTTCAAAACGCCATAACTTCCGAACCGGAAGGCCGATCTGAATTTGGTTTTCAGATTCGGAATTCTGAGAAAATTCCCTATAAGACTAATATCCTGGACATTTGATTTGGAGAACTTTTTTTTGGACCTCGTTTTCGGACACTGATATCTCGAAATCGGTTTGAGATATCAAAAAACTAAATCGACCCTAGCTTTCCTACTTTTTTATAAGGAACACAATGAAAAAAAACCGGATCGAAAATATTGAAGGACGACTGAGAAAATTGAAAAAAGTGACAAAGTACTGGATTTGACCCAGTTCCTGACCTTTGACCTAGATAAAAATTTGACCCAATTTCCCACCAACTAGATACTGAACCTAAATAAACTATATAATGGTCTTTACTGGATACCTTATAGTTCCTGAAAAAACGGCTACGGAATAATAAGAATAATAATAATAAGAATACTGGCAAAAACAATAGACTCCAGATTTTCAATCTGGAGTCTAATAAAAATAAGAATACTGGCAAAAACAATAGACTCCAGATTGACATCTGGAGTCTAATAATAAGAATAATAAGAATTCAGGCAAAAGCAATAGACTCCAGATTTTCAATCTGGAGTCTAATTATATAAGTAAATACTTATGTTGAAACCGGTGTCAGAGTAAATACAGATGTCTATACTCATTGATGATGTCTATAATCCCCTTCAGCTTGTATTGATCCTGTTGGCAATGAACAATTGGTGTCACATCTAGCATATGATGATATATAGAAACCTTGAGCATTTTAATAATACCAGCTTTATAAATTCATAATAACTAACTGACCACATGGCAGGAGCATAGCCAGAGCAAGGCAAATTGATATTTCTTGACAAAATACAGCCCAAATCACAAAGATTACCTAACTTCTCTCTATGACCATGGTTACCATAACATTATATATTATATATTTATTCATTTCTCAATTCACCCCTTTTTGGGTATATAGAGTATATACAAAAAACAAACTTAACTACTACAGTAACAATCATTAAAATAACATTTATACATGAACATTCTCAATTACATGTATATGTACATAAAAAATACATAATACATAAGAAATAAAGTGTAATTGCTGGAAAATATTTGAACTCGCAGTGATATAATATTTTGTTATCTATTTTATGAGGTATTGAGTGGACATGTTGTCATTGGTGTTAGTTTGAGATGGTTGCCTTGCAAATAAGCCATTAAAGCAATGTGGCCCAGGATAGCCTATTGATATTATGAATGATAACCCACTTGAGTAAACACATAAAATCGATATTTAAGACAAAAGTTAGTGCTCTACCGTCAGTTTCAAACTACCAGCTTTAACAATATGAGGCAATAAAATCGATTCAAATGCTAACTGAGTAATCATTATTTCAGCTGACAGGTCCGACGTTTGGGATATAACGAAGACAGTAGACACACAAAATCTAGGATTATTTCACAGAATGTGTACTTGGTTTGATTAATATAGTAAAAAGACTGGCCATGCTAGTTGTACTGATCTACATAATATATTATATGGTCTGCCACACAAGGGTAAATACAGTAGAGACACCAGTTTTATGTTCATGTACATAATATTATAAATAAATACACCTATCTAATACCCTGCGTGCAGAGTCTAGTTAAACTACAAGAAGACGAAGCTCTCTTTTAAGAAGTGAAGTCAAATGAATGCAAAGGGTACTATCTAAAGGCTACTTTAATAAATGAGAACATTTTTCTGTCCATTACTTAAAAGTCCAACTAAATTTCTTAACATGAAAACAATTTCAACAACAGTTTTAACTGGTCCAGCAGTGTCGACTATATTATAGTTTCAACAATATAAGTATATTTGACACAAGAGCAGTCAACCCTATAAGCAGCCATTACACTTTGTTTCTTGCTTCATGTTGAGTCTGAGGCATTGTACAGTTTTAGAGGATGCATTGAGGCAACTAATAAAGGAAACATATGAGTGTATTTTCACCATTAATCACAAATAATGAGACATTACTATTGAGCATTTTTCAAAGTTTTAATACGACACATATAATATGGCTGCCAGAGTATTATCACACAGGTTTTTTGATTATTTGGTACATAAAGCATTTCCAGCTTCTTTGGATTTCAAGCCGATCCCTTCAAAATAGAGTGTTTATTGCACTGGGGCCCTAGGTGGGGGTCTACTTGGGGGTTTAGACAAAGGTTTGGGGCATGTTGGTCTTGCAGGGGGTGGGGTGTCTTCCTCCATTACCCCAAGCATACTTGACCTGGGGGGTGGCAAGTCTGGGATGGGATTTCCTTGGGGTAGAGGACTGGCATTAGTGTGCTGAATGTTAACTTTTGAGTCCATACTCTTAGATTCACTTGGTAGAGCAGGTTTTGTTCCAGGAAGAGGAGGTTTTGCTCCTGAGGGAGCTGGGGTATCCCCAGGTATAGGAGGAGGAGGTCTCCTTGCTTTATGACTTGGAGCTATAGCCACAGTTGACACGGGCACATTAGGTGGGGAATGTCTAGGCATAGTATAGGTTTCAGAAGGCTCATTTTGGTAAACACCACTAGTTCTTGAAGATGGTGGGCTAGGAGGTGGCTGTCTACGTGTCGGGGGTGAAGGGCCATCACTTTTCATTGGTTCTGGTGGAGGAATGTTAGCAAACGAAGAACTGTTAATAGATGCAGACATATTCCGGGGCAAGGAATGTGTTCCACTGAATGTTAAGTCTGACGCCTTAATTGTGTTTTGTGAGTCAATCTTTTTTGTTTCATCTTTATCTAGTATCAGACCTTTCATTTGATTCAGTAGTTTTCGTGTCAGATCTGGTGACTTTACAATTCGCTTTGGAAGTTGTGGAAAATTGCCAATTTTATCAGCAACTTTCCCTTCTTCAATCTGAAAATACAGAGTTATTGTTGTATTCAATCAATGCATCAATAATTTAGAAAGCAGTACAAACATTGTAATAATTAAATAAAATTAGAATGATAAAAACTTTATCATTCATTTAAAACATTGGCATGATATTAATAACTGTCAATCTAAGACTTTGTCTCATGAATTATTTCAAGGTTTTATTGATTTTGTGACAGCATCAGTGTATTAGATGAAATATTGTGAAATAAATTTTTACAATATTTCATTCCAAGTACAATTCACCCTACTAAATCGTCTTTCAGTAACAAATTAGCAATGGTAGGGTAATCTATCTGTTATTGAAATAGATTACATGAAGATTTAATGGATCATTTGTGACAACAGTATCAATGAATGAATAAACCTAATTTTGAATTACTTCAAAAGATTACTACAATAGACAGTCTTAACTCCATCAACATTTACCATGCTCAGATATGTGTCACTTTCTCTATCAATTTGGCATTAACCGAGGGCTGCATCCATTTAACTTAAAACAAGACAGAGTGATAAATATTGCACTTTGAAGAGCAAAATGGCTGCCATGTAATTTACCCAGCATGCCCAAAACCTAATCAGATCTTGGCACTAGTCTGGTCTTGCATCCATAAAAAGTTTAAGTTAAACAGATGTGCAGTTTTCCTTAAACTTGTAGATTACTTTGAAAAAAATTGGTCAATGCGTCTGTATTAGTAATTGTTTTAATTAAGGAATACTTTTTTAAAGATTGTCATATACAATTTGCCTTAGTGTAATAAACTTAGGCACGAACACAGAAAATGCTTAGATGATTGAGCTACATTTATACCCGGGCATTTACACAATAATCACAAAATAGTGGATTATATTACATATAAAAACATCAGCATTTAAGGTCAGGGTGCATGATGGGAAATTTTCTGCATTCCTCAATTAAATTTCCTGCCCACCTGGCCGTCAACACAGGACAATTACAACTAGATAATGGCAACTCCGCGGAGTAGCAAATCCCAACGAACAAAATATCAATTACCGAATTCCAATCAATTATAATCATTACTTTGGTTGAAAATGAAAAAATTAGATTTTAGAATTGCGAATTCCTGCAAAGCAGCCATTTTGAATTTTCTGAGGTACAAATCTGAAAAATAATACCATAATTGTGATCTACTCCAAAATTCCTTCAATTTGAGTATAATATAGCCATACTTTGAAGGGATCGAAAAATTATTGCGAAATCGTACATTAGACGGCCATTTTGAATTTTACGAGGCTCGAATCAGAAAAAAGATACAATATTTGCAATCTACTCTTAATTGCCTTTCATTTGAGTATAATAAAGCTATACTTCAGAGAGATCTAAAAATTAGCAAAAATTTCTGTTTTCCTGTCCCCCCATACATGGCCCCTGGGGGTCAGGATGAAAAACACGGAATATATGTGAAAAAGATAAATGTTGTGAATACACTACCGAAATTTCAAACAATAATATTAATTACTTTGGTTTAGAATGAAAAATTTATGATTTTTGCGATAAAGTCCCGTCAGTTTTAAAGCGGCGGCCATCTTGAAAAAATTTTTTTTTGCGTAAAACTATTCACCAATATACATCTTTCCACTAAATATGAAGAAAATCTGTCAACTAGTATTTGAGTTATCTTCCGGACAGACGGACGGACGGACTGACTGACTGACTGACTGACTGACTGACTGACGGACAGACGGACGGAGGGCTTCACTATATCCCTAACGAACTTTGTTCGTTGGGATAATAAAGCACTTTCTAAAAGTGGAATAAAAAGCTGAAGAAATTGGAATATTTTTAGTTGAAATATTTTTCAGTTTCTGTCCGACAGTCAAAAAATCAATTTTTAGAGGAAGTTGAAATCCCTCAATGTGATAATCCAGTTTACAAACTGTTCTAAACAATTGTAATTTCGCACAATGTAATAAATGCAATTAACAATCTTTAGTATGATGGTCAAGTTTACAAACTATAATGACTTGTCATGTCATGAGATTTTTAGAATCATCCACCATTTTGGAATTTAGAGGATTAATCACAAGAAAATGTAATTGGACATGATTCTACCCAGCTCTCTGACGAAAGGAAGAATGTGTAGTTAAGTCATCGGCCAAATATATTACAATGGGCGAAAAACTTAAGAATACGGCAGAATGAGAAAATAAATGGATTTTTTGACTGTCGGACATCATCTGAAAAATATTTTAGGTAAATTGAGAATATTACTCCCATTTGAAGAATGGTGCACATGATAATGGAAATTATATTAGATTTTATATGAACTTACAAGGCGTGGTCCATCAAAGCCAGAGAAGCGATCATTTTCACAAACTGCAGATATGACCTGAAACAACAAATAAAAATAAATATTTTTAACACCATGAATTGATTCGCTCAGTTTCCTCAGGGTATGAAGCATCAAAATAAAATATATAAAGTTGTTGCAGTACTCTTCAGAGACAAGATTTCTTTGATCTGTTTAGACCAATCAGAAGCTCATTTTACATTTGAAAGAAATTGAACTGTGTTGGATTGGATCGTGTTATTCAATGCTCTATACGCCAAATCTCCAAATGCAAGTTTCTGTTAAACATGTTTGATATGATTTTTCTGTGACATGGAAATTCCATGCGTGAATTAAAAACAAAACTTGTTAAGGGTATTTGTTTTACATATTAAGTAACTTAACATTATGTTCAAATAAATGGCATACTACTGTAAATAAATTGGACAACTTTATAGATTGTAGACCTTTGAAAGTTATATTGACAATATCAGTAATTGTTGGCATAGTTATATGACATCTAACAGTAACATTGTTTAGGGGTTTCAAAAGTAGAAATATGTTTCTTGTAATTTAGGGATTCATGTTCAGTCCATACAATAACTGCATCCTAATCTAATGTATTAATGGGTCTACATGTGCTAATATTTTCATGGTGTTCACATACACAGTATTTGTAAAGTTATAAAGGTGTGCTTGGAGGGTCAACATTCACAGCAGGGCTAAATTGCTTCTGAATGAAGCATTTAGGAAAAATAATGGAGGATTTTGTCAAAACGCTTCGTAGCAATTAAACCTGCTGTGTAAGTCTAACCATTAGTGGTTGTCATTTCAACTTCATTTTTGATATAAACATAAATACAGATTGATGGGGAGTGTAGGGAGATGGGTTCCTCAGCCACCAGCCATCCTTTGGGTTCTACAAATGAAAACCTTAAATCACCAAATCATGGTCGACAAACACAGGGTGTTTTTTGGTTGTAGCAACAACCAAAAAACACCACAAAGGGCATGACATATTAGCAAGGTAAACATGATTACACCAGCAATAGGGATCTGGGGATGTTCCTTGTGTTTAATGGATTTTACAGTGGTGGTTACCATGGCAATCAATTTTGATTAGTATAACGACCAGTGTTGGTTACTACATGGGATTTCAATAGATATTGGATGCCCATGGTTACTATGACGGCCAGTGCTGGTTACTATGACTACCTCTTCTGTAATGTTAGCTGGAACAGATCTCTGCTTCTTCAAAAGAATCTTAGGACCAGAAAATCCTACGAATGCATTGTCTTCTTCTAATACAGACACCACCTATAATTTAAGAATTCTTAAAAAATTAAAATAAAATTCAATACTGGAGAAAAACAGAATCGACTTTGTGAAAAAGTCAGCAGAAATAAATACATACAAGTAGTGATATTACTATATGGCTCAAGGACAAGTTTACCTTTTGTTCAGCAATGCTGTGTCTTTCAGTAAAAATTAAATGAAAACACAAATCAGCATAAATAAAATGTTTTTTTATGAAACAAACAACTTATCTGTAGGGACAATGAAACAAATGCAAAAGAATTGTTTAGAACTGAAGTTATACCTTTGCCTTCCCAAGGTAGTCTTTCTTGGCCATATTGTTGATGACTGACTTTGGAGGCTTGAAGAGGGCGTCTGATGGTATCTCTATAAGAGGGAATGCCTCATTGTTCTACAAGAAGAGGACAGATCATAATCACAAATGTGACAGTTGTTAGGGATCACCCACTCCTTTTGTTGTATTTCACTGTTGCTAGGGAAAATTGAGTGGTGAGATGATAATCATCTTTTATCCTGAAATCGTCACTAACAATGAAAATTTAAAATATATCTTTGTCAATAAACAAGCATTTGCACATAACAACTTCATAAACTTCTTACAGTAATTGTACAATATCAAGGAAGTTAGGTGGTCAGAATTAGAGTGTTATGCAATTCGGGCTAGTAGGTTAAAACCCAAATAGCTATGAACAATGTACTCACAGCTGCTTTGGAGAGTGCAGTATCACAAACACTATGCTTCTTTTCAACTTTCAAGTTCTGGGCTTCACCTATAAACATTATAATAATACATTTGTACTTAGCATTGTCTACAAGCTTTAAACACACTGAACACAATTTTATTTGTGAAAATATTTTACACTTATTGTAGTTCCATGCGCCTGGCCGATTGAGTATTTTGTTCAAAATTGAGGGTCAAATCTCAGGTCTTGAGGTCTGATGTGAGCCCCTGAGAACTTAAAAAAATAGTCAATTCGGAGCAAGTTGAAATCAGATTTGAACAGAATACTGCAATCGGCTAGGCGCCGGCTGATTAATCGGAGCAAATGTGACCCAGGCATTACCCAAAAGTTGCCTAGCCTTAGCAACATCTTGCTGGTACAGATGAACTAGAGCTTGGTTGTGGAGACATTCGCAGGCGTACAGCTTATGTCTTAGCCCTAACTGTTTGTAGTCAATAACATCTTTCTCTCTAAGCTTTTTGTGTGCTGCCTCAAAGTCCCTAAGTGCATCAGGAAATCTGGAAAATAGAACTGGATTTAGCTTCAAATCTCTGAATCTCCTTATCTATTTCACCACCAGAAGTGGGGAGGTATGTAGTGGGGGAGTAACATGGGCTTGTACTAAACTAAACTTATATTGTTTGGATGATGCCTCCTCAGAGCTAGTGAGGGACTCATATTAAACTAGATAACGGCAACTCCGCGGAGTAGCAAATCCCAACGAACAAAATATCAATTACCGAATTCCAATCAATTATACTCATTACTTTGGTTTAAATTGAAAAATTTAGATTTTAGAATTGCGAATTCCTGCAAAGCAGCCATTTTGAATTTTCTGAGGTACAAATCTGAAAAATAATACCATAATTGTGATCTACTCCAGAATTCCTTCAATTTGAGTATTATATAGCTATACTTTGAAGGGATCGAAAAATTATTGTGAAATCGTACATTAGACGGCCATTTTGAATTTTACGAGGCTCGAATCAGAAAAAAGATACAATATTTGCAATCTACTCTTAATTACCTTTCATTTGAGTATAATAAAGCTATACTTAAGAAAGATCTAAAAATTAGCGAAAATGTCTGTTTTCCTGACCCCCCATACACGGCCCCTGGGGGTCAGGATGAAAAACACGGAATATATATGAAATGGATAGATGTTGCGAATATACTACCAAAATTTCAAACAATAATATTAATTACTTTGGTTTAGAATGAAAAATTTATGATTTTTGCGAAAAAGTCCCGTCATTTTTAAAGCGGCGGCCATCTTGAAAATTTTTTTTTTGCGTAAAACTATTCATCAATATACATCTTTCCACCAAATATGAAGAAAATCCGTCAACTAATATTTGAGTTATCTTCCGGACGGACGGACGGACGGACTGACTGACTGACGGACTGACAGACTGACGGACTGACGGACTGACGGACGGACGGAGGGCTTCACTATATCCCTACCGAACTTCGTTCGTTGGGATAATGAGTTAAGCATGGGCTCTTGGATCAGCTTTTGTTATGAGCAATTTATCAATTTATATATAATTTATTATGCATATAAAAACAAATGACCTATCCAAAAATGGGCAATATAATAATTATCAGCCATTTCAATTTTCATCTGAAAAAGTTAGTCACTGAAAAATCTGCTTTTTAAAAATCTAATGTGACAATGTTAGAACAATTTTTGACATGAATTACTTTTTGAACCTATCCATTTTGTATTATGCATGTAAGTATGTAAGCTTCCTAAGTATTATATGTTTTAGTCGACATGTATTCAAACCATATTAAAAACCTGTATATGAGACTATATGATAAAAAGTGATTAAAATTTTGATATGTTTTATTGGTTATTTATCTCTTCACACGCAAAAATATGAAACACGTGTCTGTCATATTCACAGCAGTGGAAGTCTTTTTTAACTATGTATATCTAAAGCAAGAAATAAGGTATAATAATGGGTACTTATATGGGTTGACTGGTTTTGAGTCTTTTACTTGTCTATTTACTCATTTTCAAGGATGTATTGAAATGACATACCTTTAAGGAACATTATTACCTGAAAATATGTGACCTTTAAAGTAAAAATACATTATGTTACCATGTATGTATAATACTTTTCATTACTTATACATTTAGAGTGGATATTCATCTTTCATTCCATATGAAGAAAATGTAAAATTAAAAAAAATTGATGGAGTAGGAGACCCCTACTTTTTGCAATTTTCAGAACATATGAGACTTAAATCAAATTCAATAACATTGCCATTTTTGGGCAAATCAACTCCGTTCACCATGACAGACGTGCGTGAACGATACAATATAAGCAACGTCTGTGTAATTTCAAGTGTTATGATAATCTATTTCTTGTGTTAAACGCGATTGAATTTGTCAAGTGAGAGTCTCAGAAATTTCTTAGGAAAAAATTCTGTTAAGCATATTATGACGTCACAGCTTATAATGCTAACAATAGACCTGGGGAGGGGGCTTTGTAAGCCCTTTTGGCCTTCGCGGAGGTAACCGGACAAGAGTCAGTATAGGGTATATAATAAAACAAATAGTGAGTCAGCCTAATTTCGAGCAATAGTGTAAATGATTTCTCCTTGGGATTATCCTCTACAAGCCTGCAGCTTCGGGAATAGTACATTTTAGAGGATATTCCCACCGAGAAATAATTTACACTGTTACCCTCAATGGCAGTCGCTATTTGTATAATATTGCCTGCAGAAATGACATTATTAGTATTATTACCACCGGTAATGCCCAGGGTTGAAATAACAAGAACTGAGCGAAATCTAATTTCCCGGGGAAAAATATGCCCCGCCACTATGACGTCACATACTGCTCAGGTCGAAACTAGCACTAATACCCCTAGAACAGGTCTGTAGTAAGGTGGTAATAATATACGTTGGAGGATATGGAGACATTCATTTGCTGGAATTACACCATGTGTTTTAGAAAGGTGCCTAAGGTTTTAACCCAAAAAAAAAATGTAATCACGATTGCCGTTTTACAAAAGCACTTCTCAAAAGCGTATTTCAAATGCTACACATATGGGCCACCGCAAAAATACTGGAAATGATGGATGGGACCTAAAAATGCAATAGGTCATTTAATTATATCGCAAAAATTGAAAGTAAGTTCACATCACTGGCAAGTCTCAGTTACGCTTTCTCTTAGATGCTAAAAGAATACATTTATTGTAGATGTATACATCTGCTGGATATTCTCCATATCTTCATCATTAAAAGTGCACGAAAAGCATTTTAGAAATGACGTGTAGTTTCAAAATAAAAATTCAAAGGCGCTTTATAAATGTTGGTGTAATCAGGATGGTGATTTTTTAAAGCGCTTTTCACTAAAGCGCTTTTAGCATTTTTTTGGGTGTAATTCCAGCAATTATGACATTTGTTTTGGGGGGATTTCTGACAACGGCCAAACACTTTCACTTTCGTTATTAGAGCACTTTGACATTCAATTGGAAATCGAAAGTGCATTTAATAGATTTCATAAATGAAAAGGAATCATTTCATTTAACGTTTTCTAAGGCCTAGAGTCCATTTCACCGTTTAACTGCGTCAGTAAAAGCTAAAAAATAAGAAATCAAAATATCATTTTGCAATAAAATATAGAAAACTATAATTCTATTGTACATGAATGACATTTGTATATCTTGGATTGCTTCTAGTTTGGCTTATAAAGAGTGTGGCCTCTTATATTTGGATGCTTCTCTGCCATGTTATTTTCAATAAGATTAACATGGCTGAAATTCTTCGAATTACAAGACGGCACAGGCTTATTGCACAAAAAACTAAAAAATCTGAAATATACAAATGTCATTCATGTACATTATGAATATACTTTTCCATATATTATTGCACAATGGTCTCCCAATTTCTTATTTTTGCCATTCTACTGATGCAATGAAGCAGTGAAATGGACTCTAGATAGTTATAATGATTGGTAGAGATAGGATTCTTATATCAAAGTAACATTTCATATGTCATTTGAAGAATGTAATCCTATTTTCTTTACTTTATTGCTGTTTTTACTGTCAATGAAAATTGTATGTTGGATGTACGTTTGGCCTTAAAAGGGCATCAGTACAAATAAATCCTATTATATATATGCAATTTGCCTTCGTGTGATAAACTTAGGCACAAACACAGAAAATGCTCAGATGATTCAGCTACATTTATACCTGGGCATTTACAATAATCACAAAATACCGAAAATAGTGAATAATATCACATATAAAAACATAAGCATTTAACTGGCGAGTACCAAATCTCAATGTACAATGCAAAATGTTGAGTCACAATATATTAGTACTTGGAATGAGTTAGCAGAAATAAGAATGTAAATGTTTGCATGGACAGAAAAGTCACGAAATAGAATTTATATAGGTAACAAAAATTAAGTGGACAAATCTGATTGCATTGCAAAGCCTCTTAACAAAACATAAAAATAAATGTACATTGTATTTGTACAGTAAAACCCCTATAAGATGAATAATTGTGGGACTCAATATGTGAGTGCTATGGGGTCATTCATCTTTCAAATACAGATATAACATGACACCAAATGGGGGGGGGGATAAAATGGGTCCCATTAAAAGTGTATAAATTATAGAGGTTTATTTAGATGAGCATTCAAGTGTTATGTTTTGCTGTATATAACATCAACTCTGAATTATATTCATGTCTATAAATTCACTGGAATTATGCATAATTAAGCCCTGATTACTGAGTAATCTATTTCAGTGTAAGTTTATATATTATGAGTCTGACCCAACAGTGCATTTATGTTGGAGTATTTCAAGCACTTCATTGTTATTAAAGTTATTTAGTACTGCTTTTGTGACTCATTGTACAATAGTTAAATGTGGAATTTGTCATAAATGTATAAATGCTCTTAATCAAACAACATTCAATATGCTCTTTATAACACTGAATGAAACAGAGTAATAGTAGTTCAAGTCAGAACTCCCCCTGCTATATATGTAGCCTCTGAATCTGTGTTTGAGAAAATTGCAGGAGGGCACACTTGATATAAAACTAACAGAGGATTTGATGCAATACTAACAGAGGGCTTGAACTTAATGCAATACTGATAGAGGGTTTGATGCAATATTAACACAGGGCTTGATCTTAATGCAATACTAACAGAGTAACAGAGGATTTGATGCAGTACTAACAGAGGGCTTGACGTAATACTAACAGAGGGTTTGATGTAATACTCAGACGGCTTGATATAATACTAACAGAGGGCTTGACGCAATAGTTACAAAGGGCTTGTCGTAATACTAACAAAGGGCCTGGTGCAATATTAACAAAGGGCTTGGTGCAATACTAACAGAGAGCTTGACTCAATACTAACTGAGGACTTGACACAATACTTACAGAGGGCTTGATGCCATACTAAAAGAGGGCTTGATGCAAGACCAGCAAAGGGCTTGATGCAGTCATACTCAAATCTAATAAAAGCCTATATATTATAACTGAACCTAGAGACTACAATTCTTTTTACCTGTTTGTCTTGAAATATACCACACCCCTCAGGAAATAACCCACAGCTAAATGTTCATCTTTCTCGACACATCCACTGAGACTCTAAAATACAATATTCCTACTCTAAAATACAAATATATAATATATACAACACAACATTATCAGGGGTTTTATTTGAAAATAGACTAAATGCATAAATTAGGTCAAAGTTTATAATAAATAATTAAAAGCGGACCTTTCCATCAAATGCGATATTTGGGCAAATATCATTTTCACATTGTCATGCAAACTGACAATTATAATTGCTTTATTGATGTAGTTATAGAGACCACATGGCAGGCAAGCATTTTCCCGTTAAGTCAGCTGGGCTTTTCATATTTCACAATGAAACCTAAAGCGTCTCATTTTAAACCTACCGAGTGATCTGCGAATAGAATCACTTGATATGAAATCTTTGAAAAATCGCATGGTTGGCGATCATCTGAGCAATCAAAGAAACAACTGTCATAATGACACATTTATTGTGAGTTATTATACGTAATACTTGTCCCATTTGTTCATCATTGTATATTCTCTAATTACAGCTCAAATATCACTGATTGACTGAGTGGTCCACAACTTGTACAAATGGCTTTGGTGTGTACTTGTATGACTATGTATGAGTGCATAGGGCACGAGAAAACAGGGCTCATATAAGGAGGGGGTTCCTGGGTCTGCCTTCCATGATTACATGCATTAATTACAACCGTATACGTATATGGGATATACCCAAAAGGTATTGCTCACCTTCATTTCTCCCCAAGTTCAACAAGTTAAACCTAGTCTGGGCCTCTTATCTGATATATCTTGTGGCCCCCGACTAGGCTTATCTTCCATGGTTCTACCTATTATGTAGAAAATGAAATGGTGGCGCATTTTCGCATAACACTTGTCATTTCGTGATTCTGTGATGCAACTCCTTAATAATGAGATCCAAGCAAGCATACTGTACCTTATCAATACAAAACACATCATCCCATATCCCTGTGTGTCACTGATGCTGTATGATTTCGAAAGTATTGAAGAAAGGCTTTGAAAAGTCAAATGTGGATATTATATCAATATTCCTTCTGAAATTAACCTCTTGATCCCGACCCATTTTCACCAAATCCACATCGAAAGACCATGGTACAAGTGACTATCAATTGACACTTTTTCCGAGGGGCAATGCAAAAAACTCAGACTCACCTCAGCTGCTTGCTCAAGCTGCTTAAACTGAATTTGAACATTTGCAATGTTGAATAAAATTTTGGCACTTGGATTTTGAATTTGTTTCCACTTTTCTAGTCCACTGTCAAAGTTATTCGCTTCATGTAAATCAACTCCTTCACTCCAAAGCGTCAACTGCTGCTTCATTGCCATCTTGGTATATTTTTGGTCGTTGCTAAAATATGATCAGGACATTTACGAAGTATTACATGACAGACGAAACTTCATTTTTAAAACTTTTCTTTTTCGGGATTTTCCCTAATTGGTTATCAAAACGAGGTTTCGATGACGTCAATATTACACGGGTGATAACCGCATTTCAGTAGGCGTGTCATTGTACGAAGCAATGTACTACATAAAAGTACATGTATATTTAGGCCACTCAAAGTTTAATCAATAATTAATGTCCACATTTTTTACTTAAAATGTAGGTCAAATACCAATATATGTACTTTTAATGAATTCAAATGGCAATAGAACCCTTAAAATTGTGATATTATAAGACATGAGCAATGAAAGAAATTCCCACTCATTGAACCGTAAACAGGGTGAGCCAGAAGTGACGTCAAAGATGAGGCTTATCAATACTAAGTTTGTAGGGCTAAGGCGTACAGTGAAGACTTCATCTGCCCTGGTCCGTCGGGTATTTGCTAATATTGTGATGCTTGGTAGAACACTTTCACAGAACAAAATACCCAATTAACTTATTTTGTGTTTAACACCATGATTGATACCATGGGCTTTCAACTAGAAGGGTAGGCAACTTTACATATTTCATACATAAGCATTGCCTTTGGGTTTTCTAAATTGGAGCATTGTACACATTCCAAGAAAATATTATTTTGTCCTTTTTATGGATTTGGATTTAAAGAAATAACTCAAAAATAAAAACATGATTATCTGCATACATGTTGATAATTTAATAAGAAATGGAATTCGTCGTAATTATGACAATACAGAAAGTGAACATTCTCCCACAAATCATATTGTTTGGAATGTGTTCTTGAATAATTACCCACAATGCAATACTCGAAGAGAACATCTTGATACATCTCATTCTAATTGCCGTCTTTTTTGTTTACTTTTACATGAGAATATGAATATACAGGGTGCCCCAGAAGTAATGATAATTATGCTCTAAAATTTTTATTTGATATGGAAACAATATGAAATTCACACAAATTAAAGATCAAGATGTTAGCTTCATTTTACTATATTACATTTATTACTTTACACAAATATATTCAATGTATAGTTGCCATAGCAACATGTACGCGCGTTCTGCGGAGCAGCAGTGTGTTTTTCATACATTTTTGAAAAACATTTCATGTTCATATGTTTCCCTGCTGTTCACATCACTACTGTAATGCTACTACTATGTATTTTATGCTTTAATCATAATTAAAATGAAAATTGATTTTTATTCAAAATAATAAAAAAAACAACATATACATTTATCTTATACTTTTTGAAATATTACAATAAAAGGGAAGCATGGCATTGCTCATTTTGAAGAGCTCATGCTATTACACAGAGTTGCATACCCTTCTAATTGAAAGACCATGATGACACAAATAGAAAACATATTGGAAGATTATTTACAGGGTGGGCCAAAAAAACGCCACTTTTTTTTCAGGACACTACGACTTTTTTATTTTCCAACCTACATACCTCAAATTTTGCAGTTATATAGTGCCAAGGGTTCTTAGCAATAATATAATGTAACAAGTCATTCAACTTGGATTATATTTGATCTAAAAGGGGAGTTCAATTGGTCCGCCGCCCTAATTGATGATATATTTTAGATTTAGTCGCCTTGCTGATATTGCAGTATCAATGAAATGTTAGCTGAGTTTTTTCCAACCTGTCTAAATTCCCAGCTTTAGTTGAGCAATTTTCTAGATTGGGTGCCTTCATACAACCTCCTGGAGACCTTCCCATACCCTATACTCACTGGGGTTTGCATCAGGGCTATTAGCTTGGCGATCATCAGGCCGTATCAGTTCAGGAACTTTTTGCAAATTATGCTTATTTCTCATGAAAACCACATGTTTAAGTGAGACGCTGGTGACATATTTTATTCAAGTAAAACTGTATAATTTATGATCCATGGCTAGATAACAACCTCAAGTTTCATTTGGTATGCAAATTATGATTTAATATCAAAAATTAAAAAAGTTATAGCATTTTGAAAAAAGTGGCGTTTTTTGGCCCATCCTGTATTCAATCAATCATTTAGGTTTATCAAGTCGAGAAGAATTTTATGTATTGCAAAATTAGATTACCTATACCCAGGTTGTCGACACATCGGGTTACCATAGTAACCGTGACAACCAATTAAATACTAAACGCTTTATTCTTGAGCTCAATAATGATATGTTAAAAGTTTCAAGAATATTGGTCCATTAGTATTGAAATGCAAATTTGACGTTGCTTCTGGATCACCCTGTGTTTCAGTTTTAGTATTGTTTTCATTTAAAGCCTCTATATGAAGTTTAAACCACTTAGTCTTACCAAATTTTATCTCGATTCCAAAAAGTGATTTTTGAAGGACTTTTAGTTCGAAAAATCGTGAATTTATTCAAAACTAACTTTAAGAGGCCACACATATCCTTTCGATAATTCACAAATGGGAAAAAGTTACAGGCATTTCAAACATTTTTCTCAGTCAATAATTCACCTGATCTTTTTAATCAATTGAAAACATGAAAATTAATTAGATCTGAGTGAATTAATTTGACATTGATGTACATGTACAATGATCAGATAAACGACCATACTATGGAGATATTGGTATATGTCTGCCTATATGGGTGTATACTTTCGGGACACTCTGTATTCTTCCTTTTAACCTGATTAGCCCATCAACATTGATTCAATTTTGAAGTTTAGCATATTAAGAAAAGATTGACATCGAAAAAACTTGAAGTGGCACAATTGAATATGACATTTTATTTGAATTTCAATTATTTCAATTTTATTTGAAAAATGGCGGGAAATTTGAATTTTTGAGAAATTAAAAGCTCACAACTTTTCTAATTTTGTTATATTTCATAAACTAAGGCATGTTGTTTACTCAATTATAGTCATCCATTTGTAGCGGATAACTACATAAAAGGGGAATTTTATCTATAGTTGTATTCTTCATTCGTTAACGACGCACTAAACATTCATCCTTCCTCCATAGCAAAGAATTTGAAATTGCTGCTTTATAACACAGTATACATGTACAGCCTACATTCAGTATTGGTGATCGAGATAACCAATCGATATAAATTATTTTTGCATTTTAGAAGTCATAAACTTTCTGTGTGTATATTTAAAAAATTGAAAACATTTATCAGATATGTGCTACCTCTAGAAATATTACGAAAACAAATTCAAAAGTGACCGTCCGCACCTTACGCACATGATATATGCACCGCTTGTTTTCGAATTCACAGTCTTCTGAAAGTGTATTATGTATAAAATCCTTATACTGAGAATTAAAATTAAAAAGAGGTTTAGTTTTTCAGTTTACAGTTTATTTTGTTTCTCAAGTCCAAGTTTACTTCCCACCCAGGTCCTAAGATTTGCCCCTTCCTCACAAAGTTAAACATAAAATGAACTTTGAATGTTAACATCATCCTGTCACGGCAATGTTGAAAAATATGAATTGCGATCAGATTTCCATTGACAACGTTTGATTTATCGGTTCATTCATTTAATATCCCGTGATCAGGTGATACCTAAGAATGAGTCAATATCACGATGTACATTTGCTCCACCTACATGTACAAAGCAACAAGTTCGTAAATTAAAGAGGCAAGTCTGATAAGATCCCGGGAGAAGATTCGCCCTGGACAATCAATGATGTCATTGTTATTATTGTACTATTGTATTCATGTTGAGCCATGAAATCAATTATTTCTAATTAAAAAATCCTGAATAAATCGAATGCAGAGTTTAGATCTAAACTAGATCGAAGACGACGCTATATCTAAGGAAGCTATTGCAAAGGGCACCTCGGGTCATATATTTGCCATAAATAATGCAGCTGAATGTAATCGTAGTCTTTGTTACGAATTCAAACATGACCGTGCTCTATTCGAATTTCTCAACCAATCAGAATGCAGCATAGCCAATATAGAACGTTCTCTAATTCTCCATAGATGCACGACCATGCTCTATTCAATCTGCAATTTGCATTGTTTTGAGTGACGTCACATCTCAGCTGCACATCTGGGGCTCTGTCCGGGGATAGCTGTTCTTTTTTACTCCCTCCGTAACTACTGTAACTATTTAACTATGGCTGACTTCAAGTTTGCAGTAATTCTAAAACGGGGAGTAAAATAGAACAGCCCAAACAAATTCTAAAATTTTTCCGGCCGACTTCAGAATCTTGACAGCATGCGTATTCTTCCTTCATGCCCGTTCCACAGACACGGCTTTTACTAATTTTTATGTTTGAATCGGAATAAATAATGATAGGCCATTCAATATGGTGAAATTCAGCACTCGTTGGACAGAATGTTAGTACAAATGCACTCACCTTCGGTTCGTGCTTTGTACAACATTCTGTCCAACTCGTGCTGAATTTCACCATATTGAATGGCCTATCATTATTTATTCCTTAATCATTTGATAAAAGAATGTCATTATAACATACATGTACATTACATTTTGCTGGTCTAGCATGATCTTTACTAGTCACATATATCCCATTATAGACAAGTAACACGCCCGGGGATCGTACAAAAATGATGGAGAGGGATTAGGCGATTTCTGCAAGAAAATTCAACAAGGAAGATTTATTTTTTCAAGAGAAAATGTACAACTGAATTGCCAAATGAATAGGCGCAGTGCATGGCAAAATATGTAAGGTCATCTATAGTATTTTTTTGAACTGATACCCTTCTAAGATATGAGATCTATTAAAAAAGGCGCATCATTACCAACGTGCAAAAGTCAATGTTTTTGCTAATAATAACGTCCCTTATACCTATTTATTACAGGTCGTGTATACCATTGTTGCTCGATTTATAGCAAAAACATTGACTTTTGCACGTTGGTGATGATGCGCCTTTTTTAATAGATCTCATATCTTAGAAGGGTATCAGTGCAAAAAAAATCAGTTGTAATTTTCTCTTGAAAAAAATAAATATTCCTAATTTGTTGACTTTTCTTCCAGAAATTACCTAATCCCCCTCTCCATCATTTTTGTGCGATCACCGGGCGTGAGTAAATGTGGCTGAATTATCGCGATTTGTCTATTGTTCCAGTAACTTTGACATCAATTTGACTTTATCGAACTAGAACTAGAAAACGGCAACTCCACGGAGTAGCAAATCACAACGAACACTATATTAATCATGAATCTGTACAGTCACAATCTAATACTTGCCATCTACTCTTCCCTTCAATAAATATTTGAGATCATTGTAGTATCATGTAACCATACTTTCAAGATATCTCTAAGTAATGGCGAATTCCTGCTCTAGGCAGCCATCTTGAATTTTCTGAAGCACAAATCAGAAAAACAATACCATAATTGTGATTCCTTCAATTTGAGTATAATATAGCCATACTTTTAGAGATGCTCCATTGCTTGCTTCTCTCATAGACCTCAACCATGCTTCTCTATACTTTACGTCTTGCATGTTATGCCGCACAATAAACCATGTGGAGGCCCAAGTGTACTTGCAATTGGCTGTCCAACTATTCAGACTCCTGTCGAAGTATTCTAACCTGACCCAAGTATTCCGAGTCTACTTATTTTTTCGAATACACTCACACGCGTCTATGTTGTTTTTATTATTCTGTGGTTGGATTCATTTTATTGTCATTCTGGTAGAATTTGATATCTTATTTATCTTGGGATATGTTAAGTCTTTATTACGGCTTCACTTGTTGTGATTTTTACTAAATATTATTCCCACATTACAGAAACCTTACAATGTGAACACCTCCCGAGCACTGAACAGTTAATATTTGAAAAATCAACCCGTCTTGATATGAACACTTTCCAAAAGACGTCGTGCATGTTTCATACATATTGTTCAATTATTTCCTATTTATCACTGTTTCATTATAGGAATAACTCATTTGAAACAGATTTCCAATGACACAAAGATATGGGGCCAAAAGACAATAGAAAATTATTGAGAATGTGTTCGCATTTCTGCGAAATCCACAATCTCATGAATGCAAAAACCTAGAAATGTGACTGACACCTCATAATCCGAACGCTTTTAGTAGGTACCAATGGTGTTCGGACTAGACGGGCTTTACACTGGAGAGCGTTTTACACACAAAGATAGTCTACTTCCTATGTAGAAATATAAGTAATTTCCTAACATTAATTACAGGAGCATTCATTTACGTGAAATCCATTTATAAAGGAGAACAATGTGGACATCTATCGAGTGTATAAACTAGGAAAACTTGGGTAAGGCCAGCATACTTCAGCAAAAAGTCAGGATTCTTGGGTAGCCTCCACACACGTACTTTACATGATCGTATTTCTTACATCGTTCGATATGCGATAACAAGTCAATACAGTCAGGCCTCATTTAACGACAGTTCACTAATTTATTTTTTATTCCTAGCAAATTGTTTTATATGAAAATATATTTTATTTCGGGGTAATTCCACAAGTAGATGCTCCGAAAAGCAATTCTATGGAAATCTTTGATTTCACTTTGAAAAACCAAGATTTTGGGTACTTGAGGTTTAGTTTCAAATTACAAGTTAAAGTGCACAATTCTTCGAATGAAAAGCTTTTGTCAGAACATATCGGGACTTTCCATCCTGAAGGAACTGTTGGATTAATTTCGACCAGAAATTGTCATCGATTCGAACTATTTGGTTACGTAAATGCATGTATTCAGGAAAAAGGTTAAGTGAAAAAATGTATAGTCTGAACTGCCGAGTTATCCTTCCATTAATCATATAATTGCAATATAATCGCGGCACAATAATGTGTATAGCAACTGTAATTGGTTACTTGATTAAAGTAAACGATTTATTGGAAATAAACGTTTATTAACGTTTATAATTGAGAAATGTGATTCCTTCAGAAATAAGGATTGTAACTGAGGAACACAATGACATGCCTTTTAAAACGATTGCTTTCAATATTTTACATTCAGTCTTTATCCTTTCCACTTCAATTCCTTTAATTATAACATTGCCATAATAGCATATTGTATTGTATTGTATTGTATTGTAAGTTTAAGTTCATTGTTCCGTTCGTTCAAAACATTTACAGACATATTATATAGGCTAAGTTTTAACTCAACTTGTATTGTATTGTATTGTATTTAAATGGAGATGTTTTACAACATAAAGTGTCTGTGTGAGAATGAAAATCAATTACACCTTCAGCAACATTTGGACTTCAACTCTGAAGGGAACTGGTTCCGCCCCAAAGATTAACGAATATATCTAAATGTTCCTAAGGATAGCAGTGCACGGCTCCCCAGTTGAATATAGGGGGCACTGGTAATCATCATATCAATATCAGGGATGTATGTGTTTTATATGTCTCTTTCCCTAGAGTGCACCGTGCATTAATATGACGAGGCATGGATTTTCTAAATTGGGTTTTACTACAAAGTATTAAACAATTTCTTATACATTTCTATATTTTCATTCTGCATAATTTAAATTGTTTAATTAAATTGGATTTGATACATTTTGATTATTTCTACGATTTCAATGTACTCAAAAATTCTATAATATACATGTAATTTCTACAGTCATAACTGACATATTGCCCTTGTCCATAATACAGATGATAACAAAATAAAATAAAACACCCACTAAGCCAAGTTACAAACCCTGAAAAGAAACCACATTTAAAAAGTACAAGTATGATAAAGTATATATAATAGATTAGCATACGCGTGCAATGCACTGGCCTCAGTCATGTAAAATGATATACATGTACCCAATGCAAATGAATAAAATACCAAATCATTGGAAATTAAATTATCATTCCAATTGTTTATGTAAATATACTTTTGCCTACATATTGAGTATTGTAAAAAAAAGTATCACACCTTTTGATCAGAATTCCCCCTTGGTTTAAATACATTTGCTCAATCAAAGTGGGTATTTCTGACACACCCTTTACTTTTGGCAATGCTGTTACGATACACGACATTTTTATAAAAAATCATTCCAGTGCTATCTTAAAGGATTTCAGCTCCATTGGACGTATATCCAAATTATCGTTTACACTAATATCACGCTTGATATGCATGAATGATAACGTTGTTTCTTTAATCGTAGATAGTTTCGCTGTCTTTCCAAAGATATTTTCCATGTTGAATTTGTTACTATACTGTTTACATATAGTTGATGATTTATTACCTATGTTGTTATCATATCCCTGAGCATGAAGCGTCAGTCCAATATCAGACACAGTGGAATGGTTGGAAGATTTATTAAATAAACCTCTTATTGAGACAACGTTTATGTGGCATGGAAGAGGCGTTTGAATTAAACTAAAGTCCTTGAATTCGCTATTACTTCCCGAATCATCTTCATATATGAACTGAACTAATGGATTATTTAAAATATTTTGTAGAGAAATCGCAACTGCACTTGGAGTCGATACAGTTCGTTGATCATGTGGAGATCTCCGTTTCTCGACATAGATCATAAATCTGCTAAGAGTGACTTTGTTATCGTCGACGGCTTGGTTCATTCCTTTACCGTCATCCGCTGTTGTCATTCTGTCGAGCCCTATCTGCAATTCCCCTGATTTCAAATTGGCAACCCCTAATGGTTGAGCAGACGATATAGTCAATCTTGTCCTTTGAGATTCTAAGTATACCATTGATGTCATAGGATAGAAGTTTCCATTGACAGCAATTTTAGGATTATTCTTTCGTTCACTCATTTGTAGTCCATTTGCATCAGAATAAAATAGTCCATCCTTGTTAGAAACATTTGACTTTATTTCCATCATGACTTCAATGTTCCGTCTGTCCTTTTCAGGAAAGTGTCGTATGTCGATAGAGTTGTGTATTGTTATGGCTCTCTGTATATCTTCCCCTGTATGGTGTATGATGGCCACTCTTGATAGCCCATCATATAACGTATGTACTTCAGTCACAATCTCACCTTTTATTACTCTGACGATTGGCTTCTGAGAACTGAACAGCTTTTGATCAGATTTCCCCCTTGGTTTAAATACATATGCTCCTCCTTGGCCGCTATGGTAAGAAACAAACGATGTGTGTATCTTATGATTGTCTCCTTCCTGTTTGACTCCTAACAAATCACCATTTATAGCTGAAAATTTAGCCTCCATGAATGAGTTCATGACATGGATGTCATTCTTGCCTAATGGTTTTACCGTGAAGACTTTACTTTCTACATCACTGGTTAATATTTCTGCAAATTTGACCGCACCATTCTTTTCTTTAAGAGTGTAAGTGCTAGTTCCAAATGCTGGAACGGTTACCCCGAAAATGAGCTCATAACGGTCAATGAAAACTGCATTATCTCGCCACACAGGGTTGATCTGGGCGTCGACTTTATATCCATTTATGTCATAAACGTCAACATTAGGATGTATTATAAGAAAACGAGCAACAGTTTGAACTCTCTTTGCAATAGGATTGAAAACAGTCACACGTCTCTCTTTAGTGATTCCAATTATGGCTTTAGCAATTTGCATATCATCCTCGTCTCTCACGTTATCTAAATCGAACGCGATACCATTAGTCTCTGGGTTAAGAATAGCAAACGATTTTCTAATGACATTGTAACAGCTTTGTAGTCCTTTCATCATACGTTTTTCGTAGTCCTTTGCTACGTGCCTGACCTCTGTACCTGTAATTGCATCATGATGTTGATAAACACCCAGTTCCTCATGAGCGATGGCCAAGGCTCTTAGGGATCCAATCACGTGTGCCTCATGATCATCATGAGGTGCACTAAGTTGCTTGATTCTCAGAGCAGAGAATGTGTTCAGAATTTCTGCCGTCCTTACCATTGACTGTAATTCCCTTCCTAAGTATTTATCAAAAGGACGAGTAGTGAAATAGCCAGTCCAGTAATCATTTTGAGACGGTCTTGTGGACATTACGTATGGAAAGAAATCCCCAATTAAATGAGGCATTTTAGTTTGTTCTAGATCATCATCTACCTTATTGAAATAATCACCAAGAGTGCCAAATTCAATATGAACGTTCATTGTTTCATTATTGTTCATGTATTCAATCAACCTTTGGAAATTTCGGAAAACGTCTTCATAATTTTCCATTTTGCGATACCTAAAGTCATGCCCAACAAGGTTGAATATATTTCTTGTTCGGAATAAGTCACTCTTTAACATATATTGCCTGTATAAGATATCTGCTTGCTCAGCTATCGTTGAATTTGTGATTTGGATCGGGTTTTGACCCCATGGGGTTCCTCCCGCTGAAAAATCAAACTCTTGACACACCTTTGGGTCTATACCACAAGAATCTCCAGTCACATACGTACTTCCAGCTAGAACGTGACAGAACAAGTCGTGCTGGCCCATTTGATCCCAAGTTTGTCTCCAGTGGAATTCTAGACTCTTATCAAGAGCTAATTTTCGTTTCACCCCCGAATGTATTCTCGATATTGCCATTCCTCTGAAACCTGCTGCTTTAAGAAAGAAAGGGAACGCCGAGGAATGTCCAAAAGGGTCTATGGACCACGTGTATTGAGGCTTAACACCAAGGTTGTGTTCCAACCATTGGTGACCTTCCACCATTTGGTCAATTATAGAATAATAATGGGTACTTGCCTCGTCTGGCATGACCCAACTTCCCATCACAATCTCAAAACGTTTATCTTTCAGAAGTTTACGAAACTTAACCTTGACATCATCCATGTTGTTAAAAGTCAAGGCATCCCACCATTTCTTAAGGAAAACTGTTTCTGCCCACATAAACTTCATTTTCGGATGGTCAGTTAATGCGAGTACAGCATTTGTAAGTATGTCATGCACTGACTCTGTGTAATATTCATCCACCGTCTGCAGCCACCCGGGGTCAACGTGAGAATGAGGTATTATAAAGACGTTAAGCCTATCCTTTCTGGTCTCAAGCTTATGCATATCATTTGGGAGCGTGTCATATCGTTCACTGTAATTTTCATTGACGTAATCGAATACGTCTTGCGTGTATACATCGGCATCAGCCTTTGGAAGCGGCAATGCCCCATTGTTGGCATCCGTTCCAGCAGCTTGACCTTCATCCTTTTTGGGCATACTTTCACGTAAAGTCTCATATTTCGCTCTTTCTCTAGTCTTATCAATTCGGTGAACCAAGTGTGTCAAGACACGTTGTTTAGTTGTAGATTTGTTCGAAATGTAGATAAGAATGTAAATTAGTGAACTTGTAGAAATAACTATCGCAAGTGTCAGTCGTAATGCCAACTTCATATTGCCGACAATTAAATGTTTTTATTCCATACAAACTGCTTTTTCTGCGCGCATACCATGCAGATAACTTTTACAATGTACATATATGTACCTCTATCTCACTATCGCTCTATCGGAACTATTGAACAATCCGTTTTATCTGCCCTATAGCTTGCTTGTGAGGTTGAGAGTCGTTCAGTGTTCTCTAACAAAAGGCATGCTATCTATTTGCATCAATCAAGTAACGTTTCACAACCGTCATTGCCGATGAAAGTTATTTATGTGAACATCATATCTGGAAGAATTAGATAGTAATTAGTATGGACATATTGATTTTTATTGGTTTTTACTCAGATGGTCCTGCTATCTTGCTATGTACAAGTTATGAAATCAGTTATGAATATTTGATACTTGTTAAGCTTTTTCAAATAAGTTGTTGCTTAATCACTGTTACAATAACATATGTTTTGCATAATAATATCTATTTATTTTAGTTCATCTATATATTATTATAGAACTGTACGTATTGTATGCGTATATTGTACTTATTGTACAACTGTATATGTATCGTCTCTCATAAGCCGCATTGGCTGGGACAGAAATATTGCTTGCAAAAACTTCTAAAGATGACTTTTATTTACAAACAGATGAAGATTCCTTATGTGAGTAGATGATTTGAAAACTGCAATGAACAGGATTTTCCTCATAAATCTACAATTATTATGTACGAATAAATTAACAACAATTGTCATTTATTTAAAACATGATATAGTGCGTGCAGACTATAGCGTCATAACTGCTTCATTATTCGTTTGTTATAAATTCCCTTATACGAATATCAATGTAACATTTACAAATAAAATGCCTAAATTACAAATTCATATATGATGTATCAAATAGACAAATAGATCCTAAAATCGGGAGCATTTTATGTTTGTAACGACTAAGAACATTTGTAAAACTAACAATTTATTATTCGCAAACTGAAGATTAGAATTCGTAAATTTCAAAATGTTGCCCGTTATTTTATCGAAGAAATGTATTTTCACGAATAATAATCTTGCATATTACCCATAAATTATTTCAGAAAGCAAAGAAATATTCAAACATTAGCGAATAATAAATTGAAAATTTACGAATATAAATGTGAGTTTACGAATACAAATGTGAGTTTACAAATATAAAATGCTAGTATCCAGGCATAGGTCACGTGACACGAGAGTTTTAGGTATGTGTGGGGGAGGGGGTGATAATTCTGACCATGGGTTGACCATGTCTCGTTGAGAATGATCACGTGATCTCAATGAACCAATGAAAAACGAATATATAAGTGCAATTTACGAATACAAATGACAACATTTACGGACAATAAATTAGTATAGTAGGAACAAGGGGTTCCCATGCACCCATAAGGTGTGAATAAGTTACATACATTTTTGTAATCCCTAGGGTGTCTATTTAATGAATTCATTTGTTAACATTGCCAACTAATGTCCCATAGTACTTTTATGGTGGCATTCAGTTACCATGGTTACGCATCTTTAGACATCTTACCTTGGTATCTTAAATCATTTGTAGCTCTGTCATTATTTGGTCTATAGAAATGATATTGGTACCAAATTAAACCTTGTTAAATTTCCAATAAATTCCTGATATTCAATTATGCAAATTATCTAATTTGCATAAATTATGACGTCATCAATCTATTTTTGGTTCAGAATTTCCAACTATAGCAACGTATCTATTAGAACTGAGGCCGTATGGCAAAATTTCTGAAAGGTTTTGTCCTTTATTCTATTAGTAGAAGGTATAAGCAACATAAAAGTGAAAACAGATTCAAAATTGAATCAGTATTACAAAAGTTATGTAACTTTCGAGGCAGCTATCGTGAATATCATTATTTGACAATAATATACATACCGTACGTCTTACCTTGGAGTCTTGAATCAATGTAGCTTCGCCATTATTTGGTCTATAGAGATGATATTGGTATCTGATTAAACCTTATTAAATTTACTATATGGTTACAATATTAAGTTATGCAAATTAGCTAATTTGCATTAATTGTGACGTCATCAATCCATTTTTTTGTTCAGAATATCGTAGTATAGCAACATATCTATTAGAACTGAGGCCGTATGACAGAATGTGTGCATAGTTTTGTCCCTTATTTGATGAGTGGAAGATATAAGCAACATTAAAGAGACAACAAATCTTCAAAATTGGATCAGAATTAAAAAAATTATCCAGCTTTGGAGGCAACTACCGTGAACGTCATTGTTTGACAATTATAAAAAGAACATTAAATTAACAAAAAAAGTAACAACCATAGTTGTTTCAATCTTATTGAGTAAAAATGTGCATGTATTAAACTGAACTAATAAGTATGTGGAAAGGTTACATGCATTTTGACTATCATTCACAGGGGTCAAAACGGTTATCTCGGCCCTGTATATCAAAGATCCAATCTTATAATTTACCATGCACTTTCAATGATTCATATAAATTGTATACATGTAGTCTGATTTTCATCATATTCTTCATATTCTTGATTCTTAAAGCATCTGAAGTATATAGCATGATTAGAAGTGAAGATGATTCATCATATGGTTTATGTTATATTTCTAACATTTCAGATGCTATGGTAACATCACTTGATAATGAGGTTTTTACATTTCACGTTCTTAATGAGTTAAAGGGAAGTTATTCTCCCTTTGCTTTAGAGATAAATAGTCGCATGTTTAGAAAAATTATAACTTAATTAATTTAACCCCCCCCCCAACCTGACAGCCCCCATATTTTGGTGAAAGCAAAATACATTAATTATTAGGTTCCAGAAGCCCCCAGAAGCTATATGATGGCCCCCAGTGGCCCCAAGAATCTATACAGGGGCCCCAAGTGGCCCCCAGAAGCTATACTGTGCTCCCCAAAAGCTATATGTTAGCCCCCAGAAGCTGAATAGTGGCCCCCAGGAGCTATACGGTGGCTCCCAGAAGCTATACAGGAAACCCTGTGGCCCGCAGGAGCTATACGGTGGCGCCCAGAAGCTATACAGGGGCCCCCAGTGGCCCAAAAAAGCTATACGGTGGCCCCCAGAAGCTACACAGGGGCCCCCAGAAGCTATACTATGGCCCCCAGAAGCTATACAAAGGCCCCCAGAAGCTATACTATGGTCTCCAGAAGCTATATGGTGGCCCCCAGTCGCCCTCGGAAGCTATATGATGGCCCCCAGAAGCTAATTAGTGGCCCCCAGGAGCTATACGGTGGCTCCCAGAAGCTATACAGGGGACCCCAGTGGCCCCAAGAAGCTAAACGATGGCTCCCAGAAGCTATACAGGAGCCCCAAAAAGCTACATGATGGTCCCAAGAATGTATATGATGGCCCCCAATGGCTCCCAGAAGATGTGAAGGGCCCCCAGTAGCCCCTAAAAGCTATACGGTGGCCCCCAGTGGCCCTCATAGGCTATATGATGGCCCCCAGAAGCTAAATAGTGACCCTCAGGAGCTACATGGTGGTTCCCAGAAGCTACACAATGGCCCCCAGAATCTATATGGTGGCCCCCAATGGCTCCCTGAAGCTATAAAGGGCCCCCTCAGTAGCCCCTAGAAGCTATACGGTGGCCCTCAGTGGCCCCGAAAGCTATATAGTGGCCCCCAGAAGCTATACAGGGGCCCACAGTGGCTCCCAGAAGCTATACGATGGCCCCCAGAAGCTATGCAAGGGCCTGCAGAAACTGTACTGTAGCCCCCAGAAGCTATACAGGGGCCCCCAGTGGCTCCCAGAAGCTATAAGATGGCCCCCAGAAGCTATGCAAGGGCCCGCAGAAACTATACGGTAGCCCCATAAGCTATACGATGGCCTCCAGAAGCTATACAGTGTCCCCCAATGGGCCACCATATAGCTTTGGGGGCTACCGTATAGCTTCTAGGGGCTACTGGGGGCCCTGTATAGCTTCTGGGAGCCATTGGGGGCCATCATATACATTCTTGGGGCCATCATGTAGCTTTTTGGGGCTCCTGTATAGCTTCTAGGGGCCATCGTTTAGCTTCTTGGGGCCACTGGGGTCCCCTGTATAGCTTCTGGGTGCCACCATATAGCTCCTGGGGGCCACTAATTAGCTTCTGGGGGCCATCATATAGCTTCTGAGGGCCACTGGGGGCCACCATATAGCTTCTGGAGACCACAGTATAGTTTCTGTGGGCCCTTGTATAGCTTCTGGGGGCAATCGTATACCTTCTGGGGGCCACTTGGGGCCCCTGTATAGATTCTTGGGGCCACTGGGGGCCACCATATAGCTTCTGGAGACCATAGTATAGTTTCTGGGGGCCCTTGTATAGCTTCTGGGGGCCATAGTATAGCTTCTGGGGGCCCCTGTGTAGCTTCTGGGGGTCATCGTATAGCTTCTTGGGGCCACTGGGGTTCCCTGTATAGCTTCTGGGTGCCACCATATAGCTCCTGGGGGCCACTAATTAGCTTCTGGGGGCCATCATATAGCTTCTGAGGGCCACTGGGGGCCACCATATAGCTTCTGGAGACCACAGTATAGTTTCTGTGGGCCCTTGTATAGCTTCTGGGGGCCATCGTATACCTTCTGGGGGCCACTTGGGGCCCCTGTATAGATTCTTGGGGCCACTGGGGGCCATCATATAGCTTCTGGGGGCTTCTGGAACCTAATAATTAAATGTATTTTGCCAGGTTTCACCCAAATCTTCGAATATGGGGGCTGTCAGGAGGGGGTTAAATTAAGTTATAATTTTTTTAAACAAATTCATGTGACTATTTATCTCTAAGCACTTGTGAATGATAGTCAAAATACATGTAACCTTTCCACATACTTATTAGTTCAGTTCAATACATGCACATTTTTACTCAATAAGATTGAAACAACTAGGGTTGTTACTTTTTTGTTAATTTAATATTCTTTTGATAAATGTATATAAATGATAAATGGATATTCTGAACAAAAAATGGATTGATGACGTCACAATTAATGCAAATTAGCTAATTTGCATAACTGAATATTGTAACCATATAGTAAATTTAATAAGGTTTAATCAGATACCAATATCATCTCTACAGACCAAATAATGGCGAAGCTACATTGATTCAAGACTCCAAGGTAAGATGTATGTATATTATTGTCAAATAATGACATTCACGATAGCTG